CATCCTTAAAATGCCCCATGAGACTGTTGGAAGGTGGAGAGATACACAGAAAGGTGACATAGAACTGGGCCTTCTGGAAGGCACTGGACAAGTAATAGCTATTCTTACTCCCATGCAGTATTTTCTTAATCTTCTTTACTTAACTCAGTGGTTTTTAGTCTTCCCCCTCACCCACCTCAACAAGAGGAGGGAGGTGTGGACGTTTTTGAGAATCTGTCATTTGTGGACATCCAAACTCAGGTGGGTCATAGACCTCTTCTGACCTCAGAGGTGAAAACTTAATCAATCCAGACTTAATCCAATCAGCCCATGTTTCTTCCCTCTCCCTTCCTCTCCCTCCATCCTCCTCCCTTCCTCTTACCTGTCTAGCCACATCAGCTCTCAGCTAGCTGCCTTTAGCTTACACGTTTTCTAACAACTTCATTCCAAGGGCATTTTCAGCAAAGACCACAACCACATTCTTGGTTTCTGGAGCTGAGGGTATGGTATCACTGAAGTTTCCTAATCATCAGTTTCTTTCTGTGTAAAATGTATAGTGAGGATTAATTAAGATAACCTCATTGAGATTACACATGCAATCTCATTTAATCCACACAGCCTGCTAGGTTCTAGGCAGTTTTAGCCACAGTGATATCTTATATAATGGGAAGAGAGGATTAAAAACATGAACACTAGCATCATTTCAAATTGTGACAAATGCTATAACAAAAAACAAGATAAAGAGCTAAGGGAAATCCTTTAGGCTAGCAGTTTTCAAACTTCATCTTGTGGCATACATAAACTGATTTCTAAAGTTTTGTGGCACACCAAAAAATATGCTTTTTTGCCAGTCTGACCGAAAAAATAGGTATAATTTTGATTCATTCACACAGGATGGCTATTGTTGTGTTGGTTTATCATTTTTTAGTGTGACAATCTAAGGGAAAAGAGGTAAGTGCCCCTGACTAAATAGTCAGGTGTTGCATTTAAAAAAATTTTTTAAATTATTTTTGGAGAGAGGGGAAGGGAGGGAGAAAGAGAAGGAGAAAAAACATCCATGTTTGAGAGACACATTGATGGGTTGCCTCTCGCACACCTGCAGCTGGGGACCTGGCCTGCAACCCAGGCCTGTGCACTGACTGGGAACCAAACCAGCCACATTTTGGTTTGAGGGATGATACCTAACCTACTGAGCTACACCATTCAGAGAGGGTGTTGCATGTTATAAAACTTTCTGGGGCACACCAGTTAAAAATTGCTGATTTAGATTATTACCTGGATACAATTTATGTAAATTCACAAAGTATCAAAGTATTTACTTGTTACTCTTTGGTTTTTACGGTCACTTTTTTTCCTGGTAAATACAGCTCCTCCAGGGGCTGCTCGCTGCCTTCTTTAGACAAAGGGTCTCAGAGGATTTCTAGGCCCTGATATCCTCAACATTGTTAGTGGGGATTTAATCCAACATCAAGGCAGTCTGTGAAAGGTGTGGATTTTAAACCTCAGACACCATTCCCTGGAGCTGGCAGCCTCCGCTTGTATGACTATATTTGAGGAAGGCAAATGAATCCAGCCTGTGAAACCCAGGAAGATGCCATCCCTAAATAAATAGCCAACTGAACATGTTTGAAGGATGTGAAACAAAGATGAATACAGTCAATTCAGAAAAATGAGCCCATTGGGGAAGAGAACAGCAGCTACAGCTGTGCAGAACAGACTGCCCCGGTGGAGGGTTTCGTGCCCTCCTTCGCAGCAGCATGCAACATTCCCTTTACCAAGGCCGTGTTTTCCCTAATAGTTGCTGCCTTAAAAAAACCCCTACTAAATGCCAGTCACTTAATATTACATATGAATAAGTCTCACAAGAATTCAGTAAAGTAGAAGGAAACAACGTCAGTGAGTGGAGCCACAGTTGGCACTGGTATAGAATAGGGGGTTGGAGCTCAGGTTGTCACTGATTCCCCAACCCTGTGTCCTTTACACCCCACCTTCCAACCAATCTCAGATGCTGCCTGCTTGGTAAGGTAGAGGAGTGGCAGCGCCAGGCCAGGAGAGGGCCACGGGGAAGCCCTCCCCCCACCCATATTCCTCAACACACTGTCCAGCCCACAGACACTCCCTTGAGTATGCCATGAAAGGCAAGGGCTTCTTGCCTTATTGAGGACAAGATGGTTGGTGGGTTTATTTTCTCATTTGTCTTTCAGTTTTTTAAAATGACTCTAGTAGCAGTCAACCTGGGATTGCTCTTTTCCAAAATTAAAATAAGTAGCCCGTATTTGTTGCAAACACTCAAAAGAGTGTATAGCAGAATATGAGAGCTTCCCTGCCATTCTTTCTCCCAGAGCATAGCCTTAAACATGCCTTCTGAGCCAAATGAGGTGGATCTTTTAATTCCTCTCATGGGGCACTATTGTGTGGGCAAAAGAGCTAGGGAGTCCTCAGGTTTTCAGGTAATACTCTGGACTAGCCTTAAGTTTAATAATTCTGTTTTTTTTTTAAATTACAAATATAATTGAACAAAAGTAATTTCCTTATATAAACTAATAACAGACACTTAAATACAGTATGGTTTTTAAAATGAAATCATATATATATAGTTGTATTCACAATGATAAGTACACTACTCAAACCTATACAACATTAACAGCAAATCCAAATGCGAACAGATATTTCTCTGAATTCCATGTTTCATTGAGCATCGAAAACCACCAATCTTTTAGTCCTTTTCTTGTACATTATTCTGTATCCACATTCTCTGCATCGGATTGGATCCCTGGATTTTATTTCATTTTCTGTGTGACATTCTCCACAGATACATCATAGGCTGCTGCTTTGGGGGTTGGATGTCCTTCTGGGTGTCCATTGTTAGTCCCCACGTAGCTTCTACAAACTCCTCACTCTCGCTTCCACACAAAATTGCGGCTCGTTGTTGTAATTAGTTCAGTTTTTAACAGACCTTCATGAAATACGTGTGAGGTATTGTTGATCCAAGATGGACAAACAGCCTCTGACCGAGGGTGTTGAGCACCAGTGTGTTAATCAAAGATTACAATGGTAATTCCCTAGTGAGCCTATACATAGTACCATTTTAAGAAGTGGCTAAAGCCCTGGCTAGGTGGCTCAGTTGGTTAGTGTCACCCCGATACATCAAGGATGTGGGTTTGATCCCCAGCCAGGGCACATACAAAAATCAACCAATGAGCCCTGGCTGGTGTAGCTCAGTGGACCGAGCGCAGGTCTGCAATCCAAAAGGTTGCCGGCTCATTTCCTGGTCAGGGCACAGGCCTGGGTTGTGGGCCAGGTCCCCAGTCGGGGCATGGGAGAGGCAACCAATGTTTCTCTCACAGGTTGATCTTTCTCGCCGCCCCCCACCCCCCCACGCACCACCTTTCTCCTTCCCTTCCCCTCTCTATAAAAATAAGTAAATAAAAATCTTCAAAAAATTAAAAAAAATCAATCAATGAATGCATAAAATAAGTGGGACAAGTCACCATTTCCCTCTCTTCCTCTCTCAAATCAATAATTGAAAAAGTGGTTAAAAACTCTTTTTAATCAGAAAGACACAGACATAATTAACTGATCGGGGTGAGTAGTCATATATTCTATTCAAGTGTAAGCTCTCTTTCCTTTGCAGGTAAGGCTGACACAGATGCCGCGGGTCGGTGGGGGGCAGGGGGGGGGGACTGGGTCTGGAAGCCCCGAGCAGCATGAATTGTTTCTTTTCATTCTGGTTGTTGAGCTCTCCCTGGGTACCATGTGCAAAATGTTCCATGTGTCCTGAGTATATGCCAGGTCACTTAGTCAGCAATTCTGCATCAAGAATAGGTTCGTTTTCCTTTGCTCCCGTGCTACATTTTCAACATGGAAAGAATTTTAAATGTAAGAGCATTTGCTGTGTAGAGGAGGGAGACTTTAGGGCCAGGACTGGAATCCTCCCCTCACTCCCAGTTCCGTGTCTTTTCCATTACACCCCGTTATTGGGGCACCAAGCGGGTGGTCATTAATCTTGTATGGACTTTTTATCCGAGGCTGATAATTAAGTCCGCCAGCAGCAGCCTTAATGTTGGACAGCTTGGTCACTGCATTTGATAAACAGCAGCCCAGTGACAAGACAGACAAATAAATGGACAATTTATAACTTGAGAAGGGTCAGTTGCAGAGGGGTGGGAACACAGTGGGGGAGGGGCTTCGCAGTATAGTAAGTGTATGAAAGCGCATTTGAAGAAACAACTCACATTGCTTTTTTCCAGAGCAGGGACCTGGAAGAGTCGTTCTTTCGTTCGTTCGTTCGTTCATTCATTCATTTGGTGCCTATGTACCAGACACAGTTTGCGGAAAATCGCAGGTTATTACCTCATGTAGCTGAGCTGTTTGACTTTTCACGAATCCCTTTCTCTCTGGGCCTCAGTTCCTCGACCCATTCAGAGATGTGCCTTCACAGTAAACCTAGACTATTTAGATTCAAATTCCAGCGTCACCTCTTTCCTGTTACGTGACCACATGCAATTTAATTTGGTCTTCGTGAGCCTCGGTTTTCTCATCGGTGAAGTGGGAATAAAATAACCCGCTTCATCGGGTTGTATGGAGGGTGAAATTACGGTAGCGCTCGACGCGGGTGGGCGCCCTCGTCAGCCCGGCCGACTCCCGGAGCGGCGGACGGGCCCGGAGCCCCTGACAGGTGTCACCTAGGGCGTGGCTCCCCGCCCCCGGGGGCGCTCGGGGCTTACGGAGCCGGGGTCTGGCCCTGGGGCCCAGTGGCCCAGGTCGTCTTTAGGAGACGCCGCGGAGGTCTTCTAGGTTTGGGCTCCGCGCAGCGAGGGCCAGGAGCGGGGCTGCTCGGGGAGGCCGGCGCCGGGCCCCAGCGGCCCCGGCTCCCGGCGCTCGCGGCCGCCGAGTGGGCCCCGGGGACCGGCCGGCCGCCCCTGGGGGCGGGGCCTGCGGCCGACCAGGCCCCGCGCCCCGCACCTTCCCACCCCGCGGGGGCCCGGAAGGGGCCAGCGGCGCTTCCGTCTCCGCCGGGGATGCACGGAGGGCGGAGCCGCGGCCCGAGGACGCGACGCGAGCCCAGTTCCGGCGAGGAGGCCGCGCCAGTGACAGCGATGGCGGCGGAGTCGGCGCTCCAAGTTGTGGAGAAGCTGCAGGCGCGGCTGGCCGCGAACCCGGACCCGAAGAAGGTGAGCCGGTGGGCAGCGCGGAGCGGGGCGGGCGTTGTGCGGGCGCTGCCCCGTAACGGTCATGGGCCCGGGCGCGGCCTCCCCTGGTCGCCCGGGGCCGTTGGGGCTCGGACCCGGAGCCAGGCCCCGTCGCGCCCGCAGCCTGGCGTCGGGGAGTTCGCGGCCATCGGCCGCTGCCCACGCGGGGCCATCCCGCGGGTCGGGCGGCGGGTCCCGGCGGACCGCGGCCTCCCTGCCTCCCGGGCCGGGCCCCCCGGCGGACCGCGGCGCGCAGCGTGCGGACCCCGCGTGTCGGCGGGGCTCGCCGGCGCTCCGCCGCTGTCCCGGGCCAGCTGTTTCCTGTCGGGAGAGCCCGCCCGGAGTTAACTCCGGCCGGCCCCGTCCCTCCCTGCGAGGCGTCCTGATTGCCCAGCGTTTTGATGTTCGCTCGCGGGAGCAGGAGGTGATTCTGTCTGCGTGATGGAGTCCGGGCTCCGTGTGCGGTCCTGCGCCTCCAAAAGACGTTTTTATTGCTTTCCGGCTTGATATTAGATCGCGGACCTTTTCACTTCCTCGGTAAATCCCTTTAAAAACAAAACAGAATAAGCCTCAGGTCACCTAGCTGGGAATAGCCTAAAAACTTAGTTTGACATTGGAAGAAGAAAAAAAAGAGGCTAGAAGTTGCAGGTAGATTTCAATTTCCTTCTGGCCTTGATTGAAAGGTAAGAGCTACCGTTTCTCGTTTTGCAGCGAGTGATGGGCAACCATTTTTAATTGTACTCAGTTTTGTTTTATTTTTAAAACTGTTTTCTTAAGTTAAATGCATTCTTCTCCCTCTCTTTCTGTTATCCCGCTTCTCAGTGCCTGGGAGTGGGGCGAATGTTAGAATTTTTAAATATTGAAATACACGGATGGAAACCCCTCAGGTTTGACGTTCTCTGCCGGGATTCTAGCCAGAGTGTAGGTCCTAAGGGTGAACCCCTCAGCTGGGCGCCCCTAGAAGAGGAAGTAATCGAGGAGGTGCTCGACGCCGTAAGTGGCGGTGAGACTAGGGTTCCTGGACGTTGGGGGCGTTCTGTGCCGGGCCTGTGTCTTCACCTGCTTTCTTCCTAAGACTTAAACTGAAAGGCAGAAGTGTCAGGCTCCTGGGACGTGCGTGCTCAGCAGGTAGGAATCGCCACGCTTCACAGTTTTTCTTGAAGGGCCCTTTTCTCTTCACCTTGTTCCCTGCTTGTCATAGGTGAGGGCTGGTTTTTTTCTCCTCCGTTTCTGAAGGCCGCACACAGCATCTCACCATCAGACCACTTTTTAACTCTTCGCATTCATACCTAGCTCAGAAATCCCCTTACTTAGGAAGCCATTTTAGTTTTAAACCTGTGAAAACTTAAACCCTTTCAATTACTTTGTGTTTTATTTTCTATTGTGGTTTCAGTACTTAGTGGCCAGGCATATTTACAAGCTTCTTTTTAAAATAACCCTTTGTGGACCGCTAATAAATGTTCATTATTTCTGAATACTAGTTTGTTTTCCTAAACACTCTATGTTTGTGACTGATCTTTAAAACCTTAAAGCAATATTATGTAAATCCATTCCCCAACCCCAATTTTGGTCTTTCTGTCAGGTTTTTAAAAATGCACCATGCGTTATCTATAGTCATTCTTCCACTGGAATTTAATTTTTAAATTTTTTTAATTTTAATTTTTATTGTATTTTTTTCATTACCATTTACTTCCCTTATACTGTATTCCACCTCCATCCACCTCTAGAATTTATATTTTGAAGTAGCTTTTCTAAATAGTTGATGAGCATGAAATTTCAAATTAGGAAACTATTTGACTTCTCATTCTATTTGAACTAGTAGTGATTATTGCCAGTATTTGAACTTTATCTTACCAGGTAGGAATTACCATGGACTTCTGGTTTTGTGTGTATGAAGTGAGCATTAAAAGGGTGAAAAAATGTTGGGAGATGGTTTTTGCAAAGGGCGCAGTAGTTGGCGTTCAGAAACGAGCTAACTGCAGGGGAAAACCGCAAGCCGGCACACTGGCCTTCTCAACCTCTGTCAGCCTGACAAGCTCCCGCAGGTTGTTCTAGAAATCGCAAGAAGATTATATAGCAGCATTGAATTTGCAACTAGATCTTGATTTCAAACCATTATTAGCCACAGAGTGAATTCCACCCCTATGTTCCTGGATTTCCTGGTAGTAAACATGGTGTTTAACTGTTTTCACTTTTGAGTCCATCTACGGTCAAGGCCGACTTGTGGAAAAGGTAACGGGCGGAGACCAGGATCACTTGGTTCCTGCTGTTTTATGGGAAACAATTTTCATGGCTGGTAAAGCTACCTGTCCAGTGTTACATTTTGAATAGTAACTACCCATAGTGAAAACTACCCAGAACACAGTTTGATGGCAAGTGGAGAATAAGGAATCAACATTATGAACATCTTTTGCTCTTCAGGTTGAAGGAGTGCACAAAGGACAGCTGAAATTTCTAAACGTGTATTGTGCAAGTGTTTGATATTTCTTAGTGATCTGCTGTCGGTTCTTGCAGACTCTACAGTGGATCTGTTAGTTTAATAATGTTTCCATCTACCTGAGGACGCCCAAAGTGCTTTTTCCTTGTTACTGTTTTTCTCGAACCTCATTGAAAATAGAGGGGCTTTGAAGCCCTTTTCTCTTACATTGGGCTAAATCATTTTGAAAATCTCTAGAGTTTTAGTTTTATCTGCTTCTAAGTCTCCCCTTTTAAGCCAAAGCCAACCAAAAAGGTAGCATTTACTCCTCCAGTTAGTGCCAGGCTTTGAGATAGAACACACCCTCAGCGACTTCAAGGCCCATCCTTAACATTGGCTTTGTAAAGGTCCCGAGTACCCTTTGTCCCCATGGTGACCTCTTTTACAACGTGGACTCTAAACTAACAATGTGATAATACCGAAGAGCTTTTGCTTTGCTTGGGGTGTGCTTAGAGGCAGATGAGCTACAGCTCTATTTTCTGTTCCTATTTTCTAAGGACAACGTTACTATGTTGGATGTTTCTCCTGGCTTTGTAGTACACTCTGGTAGATGTATACACCTGACTAACTAGCTCAATAGGCAAGTTACCTAACCTCACTGAGCTTGGTTTCAATATCTATAAAATGGGGAGAATAATATCCACTTTATAGAGGTGGTTAATGAAGATGAAATAAAGTAGCATGTAAAACTTAGCATAGTAGCCATCACATAGTCGATTGTATTTAGTGGCATTAGAGGAGACAACCTATTTTTAACCTTCCAATGATTCTGAATTTTCCTTTAAGAAAAGGAATTGGCATTAATCTTTGTACCCATAGCTTGGTTGACAAGAAATACGCATAAACTTTCTCCTAAGTTGGATGTTGGTGGTCATCAAATTTGAAATGGAGGGTAATTTTCACTCAGCTATGAAGGTGAAACTCCCTAGATTTGGCATTTGGCTTTTCATTTGTTCCTAGTCAAGCAATATTATCATTCATGATCCAGGTGCTTGCTTAGTGACCATATTCAGTAATTACTGAAGTAGAATGACCGGAAAAACATACTTGCTACTCCACCTATAGCACTGAGACATACTGATTACACCCTGGGTTACACATGGACAAAGGACAGAGCTTGTTGTTTAACATTTAAATGTAAAGGTAGTCACAGTTATCTATTTTTTAAAAGGTTTTATTTACTTTTTAAGAGAGAGGGGAAGGGAGAAAGGGAGAGAAATAGCAATGTGTGAGAGATACATCTATCGGTTGCCTCTTGCATGCTCCCAGTTGGGGACCTGGCCCACGACCCAGGCATGTGCTCCGACTGGAAATTGAACCAACGACCTTTTGGTTCGCAGGCAGATGCTCAGTCCACTGAGCCACACCAGCCAGGGCACAGTTATCTATTTTGAACTACTTGTACTTTGAAGCTTCTGTTTACATGTGCATACACATTTGCAAGAGAAAGGCATGGCCAATAATAACTTTTGGTAGAAATGGAGCAAGTACGAATTGGCTGGTGAATATCTGTTTGAGGAGCAAGGGTAGACATTTAAAGACCTGTTTGTTGATGAATGAAATGATTAATAGTAAACATGTATAAAACTTTTATACACTTCCAGGCACTATGGCTAAGGACTACACATGGTTTATCCCAGTGAATACTTGTGCAGTAGAAACAGGATCCAGATCTTATTTTGCAGATGAAGTAAATGAGGTTCAGAGAGGTTACTGACTTGCACAAGATCACCTGGCAAGGAGGTGACAGAGCCAAACTGAGGCCTGTCTCTGAGTCCGGAACTCTGTCTTAACAGCCATGCTGTCCTGATTTTGACCTAGTTTTAGGGACTACAGAAAGGAAATGTGGCCAAACTCAGATCACTTTTCTAATCTACCCAGACATTTTGTGTTTACCATTAAGGGCAAAGCTCTGATTCGGGCAACTTGAAATTAGCCTTGGCTTCCCACTGTATGCAAAAAAAAAAATTCTGTTAAACACTGCTGACTCTGCATGGGAACATGATACCCTTTTCTTATAGAGAGCTCTTTTTATTTTCCTCGGTGCCAGGTCTGCGGGTAATTTTCCCAAGAGTGGTATCTTCCTCAGAAATTCTCTCTCAAAACTGGGGCAAAATGATAGTTGATGACTTTTCTTAGAGTTGATAGGTTTGATTCTCTTCTCTAAGTCTCATTTCCCATTGGTGTAGCATAGTGATTCAAAGCGGGGAATCTAAAGCCACAGGCCTAAGTGACTCTTGCCCTGCTTGCATCCTAGGGCCAATAACTTACTTTGTTTTTAAAAAAAAAAAAAAAATCACCAGGCATTATTTATTTTCTCCACACTTAAAAAAATTGTTAAGACATTTGAAAAAAAAATTATGATATGCTACAAAATGTATATGATAGAAAAAGAGATTACTGAACATATACTAGGAGAAAAACAACTTCAAAACTTTTCATAATACTTTTCACAAATAACTTATCTTTCCTGAGCCTGTTTACATACTTGCAAAATAGGGATAATAACCATACTTGTTACTGTATAATACTTAGATAAGTATTTAACCATCAGATATTATTCTTGCTTGTTCCAGTGAATGACTTTGATTTTATAGGAATTAACGTTTATTTTATTCCCTCTGCAGGTATTAAAATATTTGAAGAAACTCTCCGCCTTGCCTATTACAGTAGACATACTTGCGGTAAGAACTGTATAACTTTAGATATTATATAAAACTATATCCCATGCCTTTCCCACTGGTAGCGATTGAACAGTAAGATAGAAAGCTTGGGCTGTGGAAATGAAAGACATGAGACATGGGGCCATATATTGAATTAGTTCATTCATATGAAATGTTCAAATAGGCAGATCATAGGCAGAAAATAGACTGTGGTTGCTGAGGGTGAGGGGGAATTGGGAGCAACAAAGTTTCTTTCTAGGGTGACAGGTATGTTCTGGAATTAGTGGTGCTAGTTGCACAGTATTGTGAGTGTTCTAGAAACCACTGAACTATACACTTTAAAATGGTTAAAATGGGTCCTGACCACTGTGGCTCAGTTGGGCGTTGTCCCAGAAAGCCAATGGCCCCCAGTTCGTTTCCTGGTCAAGGCACATGCCTAGGTTGCAGCTGGTCCCTGGTTAGGGTGCGTGGGAGAGGAAACCAATCGATGTTTCTCTCCCTCTTCCTCCCTCCCTTCCCCTCTCTCTAAAAATAAATAAATGCAATCTTTAAATGGGTAAAATGTTGAACTTATTGTTGTGTGAATTTTATCTCAAAAAGTTTTCCTAAAAATTAAAAGAACATTGGCTTTGGCATCAACTGGGTTCAAATCCAAGTTCTGTGACTTTAGGCTGTACTTTGTTAAAATGGGGTAGTTTCCTGCCTCACAGAGTTGTTGTAAAGGTTGATTCAGATACTGTATGCAGAGCTCTTAGCTCAGTGCCTGACCTGCCAAAATCACTCTAGTTACTCTTGTACAAGTGTTTTAATTCAGTATTTCCTCTTTGGTATTCTTTGCTACTGTGTGTCATTAGAAGTTTGGGAGACAGAAACAAAGTAATTTTGTATCAGACTTGCAGGGTATATTTTAGGAAGGGAGTTATTGGTTTGGTGAAAAGCAGGAGGTCTGATTTTTTTTTTTTTTTTTTTTTGAAAACCCATTTCCTCAACCCTCTAACAATTCCTTTGTCCAACTTATAGGAGACTGGCGTTGGGAAAACAGTAAATAGCTTACGAAAACACGAGCACGTTGGAAGCTTTGCCAGGGACCTAGTGGCTCAGTGGAAGAAGTTGGTTCCTGTGGAACGGTAAAAACATTGCTCTGTAGGTTTGTTCAAGTTCATGGTTAAATCTGACATTTGGAGTGTTTACAGACAAAATTTTTTTCTTTTATTATTTCTTCTCTGCCTTCTTATTTAAAATATTTATTTTTGCCTCGACTGATGTGGCTCAGTTGGTTGGAGTGTCCTCCCGTAAACCAAAAGGTCACAGTGTTACCCCCGGGCACCAACGACCCCCGGGCGGGCACGTATGGGACGGCAGCCCATCAGTGCTTCTCTCTTGCGTCAGTGTTTCTCCCCTCCGCTGTCTCTAAAAGCAGTGAAAAATTGTCCTTGGGTGAGAATGAAAAAGAAATAAATTTTAGAAAAAGGATCAAGATTTCTTTTATTATTAACATTTTGGTATGTCTCTTTCTATCCCTTTCTAAAAAGACTTTTTATGTAGTTGCACACAAACTATATATAACAGCTCCCTTTTTATGTAACAATTAAATATGTCCCTTGTTAATCATTTTCACGTTGACAAGATACTTGATCTTCTTTCTGTCCTGCAGTTAAACTCATCATTTTCCATTTTATTATTTGAGTCCCCAGTTTTAAAACTTAGTTGCATATCTTTTAGTGGAGCACACTTACGTTCTTCCCAAGATCTTGTTTCTAACTCTGCATTCTCTCCAGCTCTATTATGAGTTCAGGTTCCGGGACTTTGTCCTCTAAACAAGGATAACACTGAGATTTAAAACTGCTTCATCTGCATCTTCTTTTATTTAGAAACACTGACCCTGATGAACAGGACTTTGAGAAGAACAATTCCCGAAAGCGCCCCAGGGATGCTCTTCAGAAGGAGGAGGAGCTCAGGGGGGACTACGGAGAAAACTGGAGCGCCTCCAGCAGCCAGCCGTACAGTCCCGACCACAGGCAGAAAAAGCACAGAAAACCCTCAGAGCTCGAAAAGCCTCACAGAGTGTCTCATAGTCAGGAGAGGAGAGAAGAGCGAAAGAGGGGCCACAGGGTTTCACCAATTTACTCTTCAGACCACGAATCTTCGGATTATGGCCATGTTCAGTCCCCCCCATCGTCTGGCAATCCTCATCAGGCGTCCGTGGACCATTACAGGTCCCCGGACGAGGACCAGGAGCCCTTCGCTCCACACCAGAAGCCTGGGAAGGGCCACAGTAATGCCTTTCAGGACAGACGGGGGGTCAGTCAGGAAAGACACCTGGGTGAACCCCAGGGGAAAGGGGTTGTGAGTCACAACAAGGAGCACAAATCTTCCCATAAAGATAAACGTCCAGTGGATGACAGGGGAGAGGAGAAGTCCCCGTTGAGCAGAGAGAAATCCCACAAGGCCGCCTCCAAAGAGGAAAACCGGAGGTCCCTCTCAGGGGATGGCACGAAGGAGAAACTGCCCTCTAGTGGTATCAAGAAAGAGAAGGACAGAGAGGGCAGCACCAAGAAGTTTGTGTCTCCCTTGGAGCTCACTCCAGACAACCACCTCAAAAAGCAAAAGCACAAAGACTCAGAGAAATCCAAATCAGACAAAAACAAGCAAAGTCTAGACAGCTTAGACATAGGAAAGGGGGCCAGAGACCTGCTGCCCAAGGCAAAGGAAAAAGTTTCTAACAGCCTAAAGACTCAAGAAGGGAAAGTAAAAACTCATTCAAATAGAAAGTCAGTGGACTCCCTCCCTAAAGTTGAGGAAGCAGATATGGATGATGAATTTGAGCAACCCACCATGTCTTTTGAGTCATACCTCAGCTATGACCAGCCCCGGAAGAAAAAGAAAAAGATTGTGAAAACCTCATCTGCGGCTGTTGGAGCAAAAGGACTTAAAAAAAATGATTCAAAAAGCACTAGTAAAAACTTGGACTCAGTTCAGAAATTACCTAAAGTGAACGAAAACAAGTCAGAGAAACTTCAGCCGGCTAGAGCTGATTCAGCCAAGCCGAGAAAGGTAACCCTTTCAGCCCCTTGGTGGCTTCCCATTCAGAGCATCTGGTTTTGCGGATCTTGCCCAGGACCCACCTTGCTGCTGTTTGGCTTGGCTGGCTTTTCTGTGGCCTGTTGAATTTCAGTTCGAAGTAATTTCCTCGGGGCCTGTCTAGCTGCCAGGGTAGGGATTACCCAAGGAAAGCATTTGCTGAGGCGTCCCGTTGGGCTGGGCCTGTCTGTGTGGATTTCCTGACTCAGGTGGTCAGACCTGACTGCCACCCCTCCTCCAGCCAGGACCTGCCTGGGACTTGTGTGCCCCTGCAGCACGGCTGGGGATGGACTGTGGGAAGGGAAGCTGTGCCTGTAACAGGGCTCTCCGGTCACTGGTCTCTTCTCTGCAGGTCCCCACCGATGCGTTGCCAGTTTTGCCAGACCTCCCATTACCTATGATACAGGCCAATTACCGGCCGCTTCCTTCCCTTGAATTGGTGTCCTTCCAACCAAAGCGAAAAGGTAATTTTCTATGGTTTGTTTTTTTTTTTTTAAATGGAAGATTTAAAAAATTCGTTCATGACCTGTCATCAGATTTTGGTGTGTTTTCTAATTGCGCAGGCTCTTGGGTTTGAATCCAGCTCTGGCTTCTACAGGCTCTGTGAATTTGGGTTGTAACTTAACAAATTACGGACTTTAGTTTCATATTCTGTAAATGGGAAGAATAATAGTTTCTGACTCATAGGGCTGTTAAGTGAACTAAAAGCTAATAAAGCTCTTAGTTCCCAGTTTTCCCACATAGTAAGTGTTCAGTAAATCATAGCTGCTGCTCTTAATTAGCAGGCTTTTCTTCTATATATGTTCAACATGAGCTGTTTATCTTTAAAAAAAGTCTAGTTTTAGTAGCAAAAGAATTCAAAGCCACGTAAGTGTTTCTCAGCAAGAGACTAACAAAGTGTGGTTCATCCACACAGTGGCTCCTGTGCAAGTTTAGAAAGTCTCTGTATGGACATGGAATACTTTTTAAAATGTGGTAAATGAAAAATAAAAAAAAAAGGTGATAGTAAGTATGTTACTAATTGGTTAAAAGGGAATAAAATTCATATTTGCTTGCTTTTGCATAGACTCTCTGGAAGGATACACAAGAAACTGGTGACACTGGTTGCTTCTGAGGAAGGGAACTGGGAGGCTGAGGAATAGGATGGGAAGGTGAGTTTTCACTATATAGCACAGAGCCTTTTGTAACTTACATTTCTGTTTTTCTTTCGCTGTAGCACACTCTTCTCCCCAGGAAGAGGAAGAAGCTGGATTCACTGGACGGAGAATGAATTCTAAGATGCAGGTGTATTCTGGTTCCAAGTGTGCCTATCTCCCCAAAATGATGACCTTGCACCAGCAGTGCATCCGGGTACTTAAAAACAACATTGACTGTAAGTCACATGCTTTTCTCTTGCTCTCAGGCAGCTGGGACCTTATCACTGGGTTTCTGGGCTGCTGCTACTCAATGCCTTCATCTCTGATTCTCTGCAGCGATCTTTGAAGTGGGAGGTGTCCCATATTCTGTTCTTGAACCTGTTTTGGAGAGGTGTACGCCTGATCAGCTGTATCGTATAGAGGAATACAATCACGTAAGTATCCTGTTTGGGTGGAAAGAGGGCAGTTTTCTTGCCGGTGTCTCCAAAAATAGCTTTGTCTCTGTGAATCTGCTGTGGCTGAAGGGCAGGCCACTGGTGGGTCACTTTCCGGGCATGATTGTTTTGCCAGTGGGCCTTTAAACAAGAATATTTTTAGCATCTGCCTCTGGCGTCTTAAGTAGGCCTCTTGGGCTAGAATCAAGGTGGGGTTCAAAGGGAGCAGGAGAACACTTCCCACAGCTCCCTTGAATTTGCCTAGTCACAGAGATCAAGGGAGAATTCTGGCAGCACAGCATCTGGGATCCAGGCCTGGGACAGCTTTGTGTTGCCACTCAGGTGTCTGGTGAATTTTTAAAAGATCATGAATGGCTGGGTGTGCCCTAGAAACATTGAGATCTATCCAAAAACCCTTCTCATAATGCTGGAACATACTCATCTGATCGCGTTAGCTGTTTCTCTGATTTCAAGGGCTTATAACATATCTTTTAGGTCGCCCCTTGCCGTTACAGTTCAGTGTAGTACTCGGGAAATGCCTGGATTCTGCCCTTGACTGATTTTTCTAAAGGAAAAGACTGATCTTAAACCAGTTTTTTTATTGTCTTGTCTCCTAGCCCCACAACTGCCCAAAAGCAGCTAGTATAGTGCTTCATATTTAACTCTTTTAATTTGTGATTATGTATTTATTAATTTTCGAGGAGGGGAGAGAGACAGACAGACATTGATTTGTTGTTCCACTTATTTTTTCATTCATTGGTTGATTCTTGTATGTGCCCTGACCAGGGACTGAACCTGCAACTTTGGCACATTGGGATGATTTTCTAACCAACCTGAGCTACCCAGCCAGGGCCAATTTAGTGAATTTTTTTTCCCCCTAGAACCATGGTATTTTAATGTAACACTATATAGACCAAAAAATCATTAGGACAGCCTAGGTGATTAAGGGTGGAAAAGAGATATGTAAGAGTGTTTGTGTATAAATGATGTCCTGGTTCTGACTTTAGGTATTAATTGAAGAAACAGATCAATTATGGAAAGTTCATTGTCACCGAGACTTTAAGGAGGAAAGGCCAGAAGAGTATGAGTCATGGCGGGAGATGTACTTGCGGCTTCAGGATGCCCGAGAGCAGCGACTACAATTACTGACAAAGAATATCAAATTTGCACATGCCAATAAGCCCAAAGGTACGCTGGGGGCCAGGCAGCAGGACAGGGCCTAGCAAAACAGTGAGCCCTGTGCTCTGGTCCACAGCAGGATCTTGGTGGGCCCAGCTGACGTAGGGCCCCTGGCCCCTAACTCTCTTGAATTTGCACAAGCGGGGCAGAGGTGGGGTTTTTTCCTGCCACTGCTCACGCTACCCTACAGAGCAGTTTTCAGGGTTGGTAAACCCTCAGCTTTGAGAGCATTTGAAAAGCCTTTTTCTGGTAATAGTGTAGGTTATTGAAATAACACTAGCATCTCTGGTCAAGAAGACGGGTATTACTCTCCATATTTCTCCACAGGACGACAAGCACAGATGGCCTATGTCGACTCTGACGCCAAGCCACCTCGTGATGTTCGAAGGAGGCAGGAGAAGTTTGGAACAGGAGGATCGGCTGTGCCGGAGAAAATAAAGTACGATCCCTGCTCCTCTGGTTCTGCAAGCTCCAGGAAGGGAGTCCAAGAGCTTGTCACTTGCTTCGAGAATGCTTAGGCGCAAGAAGCGATTTCATTTTTTGGGGGGGAAAGCGCAGTGGTGCAGAGTGGGTTCTGGAGCCTCAGCTTCCTTGGCTGCTGTGCAGGCGGGATAATTATTCCTGCCTCTCAGGGAGATCAAGATGAAGTGGAGAATAGGGCCTGGCTTCCGGGAAACACTCACTTATGCTTTCCCTTTTTCTTTTTTTAAATAAATGGGATTTACGACTATATTATTTAAGTCGTACTAGCATTTTCAAAATGCAGATTTACACCTAAACAGTGAAAAGTTAGTTGAGATTATCATTCATTCTGAAGGGCCCATCCTAGAGTCATTTCCAGAACCTAGGATGCTGGAGTTCACTGGTCAAACCCACGACTGAGTCTTCCTTAAAAAGACCAGCATCAGATTGTTGGTGCTGCAGGTAGATTTCTCCTGCTAACGACTAACCAGCTTTGTCCTGTGTTGCAGGATCAAGCCAGCCCCTTACCCCACAGGAAGCAACCATGCTCCCTCCAGCAGTGGCAGCAGCAGCTTTAACGCCAGCCCCGAAAAGCCAGCCTATGATGGCCCGAGCACCAAAAGTGCCCACTTCATGCCCGTGGTCAGCAGCACTGTTTCCTACGATCCTCGGAAACCTGCTGTGAAGAGTGAGTGGCTTGGAGTTTCTGCTCAGATATTTCAAAACTAGTATTTGAGCCTTTAAAGGCATTACCCTGGCATCATTTTGTGTACTGGATGTAGCATATGTATGATGCCTTGCACATAGTCCATCTAAATGTCAGTCCCTCCTTTCCTCTGCTTTGTGCATAATGCATGTGTATCTTTTATTTTAAAGATTTTATTTATTTATTTTTAGAGAGAGGGGAAGGGAGTGAGAAAGAGAGGGTGAGAAACTTTGATGTGAGAGGGAAACATTGATAGGTTGCCTCTTGTATGTGCCCTACTGGGACTGGGAACCAAACCTGCAACCCAGACATGGTGCCCTCACCGGGATTTGACCTGGTGACCTTTTCCCATTGCGGGATGACGCCCAACCAACTGAGCCACACTAGTCAGGGCTGCATGTATATCTTTTTTATTTTTTAAAGATTTTAATTTATTTTTAGAGAAGGGAGGGATAAAGGGAGGGAGTAGGAACATCACTGTGAGATAGATATAGCAATAGGTTGCCCTTGCACACTCCTCAGCCAGGCGACCTGGCCCATAACCCAGGCACATGTCCTGACTGGGAGTCAAACTAGTGACCTTTTGGTTTGCAGGCCAGCACTCAATCCACCGAACCATACCAGCCAGGACTTTTTTTTTGGGGGGGGGGGGGGTTGTATTTATCTACTACTTTGAGAGAGGGGGAGATAGACAGGGAGAGAAACATCAGTCAGTTGGCCTCTCACATATCCCCAGCTGGGGACCTGGCCCGCAACCCAGGCATGTGCCCTGCCTGGGAATCGAACCTACAACCTTTCAGTTTGCAGGCTGGCCCTCAAGGCGCTGAGCCACACCAGCCAGGGCTGCAGATGTATCTTTTATATAATGCATAATGAGTATTCATTTTGGCACTCTGCTTTATTTTACCTAAATGTAAACTTCTTGCAGCCAATAAGATAGGATTCATAACTATTATTGACAGCTACATGATAGTCCATCTTACTGAGGTATTATAACCTTAAAACCCAAGCTTCAAATATTGTATCTAGTTGGGTCTGTTTTGTATTTTATTAACTTGATTACCATAGGCTATACCCAGTATTCTAAGGAGATGCCCTAACTTAAAAGCATTAATCTATATTTACTTCAGAGCCCATGGGAGGAGGGTAGGAGTCCTGGCTTAAGCTTTGGCTGAGCTCCAGTTAACCAGTCCTTTCGTGGTGTTTGCATTGAGCTCGAGTTAGACCTATTGCTACAGTGGACAGACAGGGTGGGAAGGGAGTGCTTTCTGCTCATTTGGATGTTGGTGAGGCAGAGTTAAATTATGGCTCAGCATGGCCTTTCAAGTCTGGATTGAATTCCAGTTCTGCCACTTACTGTATAATCAGGGGCAAGTTGGCCAGTCTCTCTGAGTCTTGGTGAGGTTGTTAGAATTAGAGACAGTGATTGTTCTGGGCCTGGCAGGTGCTCAGCAGGTGTTAGCGCTGTGCTGCTGCTTTTATTATGGTGTTAGCAGACAGCTACTACTTGCATCCTTTTGTCTGGTGGTGCAGAACTAAGAGTGATGAGACTTTGGCTTTGACTGTCAACCACTGGTGGTGTATGTCTAAACTGCCATGGATTTGAAACAATGGCCTTATTTTTCTTTTTTCACAGAAATTGCCCCCATGATGGCTAAGACGATTAAAGCTTTCAAGAACAGATTCTCCCGACGATAAACTGAGGACTTGCCTTGGATGTGGAATTTGGGGGTGAGGAAGATAAGGACAGTGGGGGTTGGGGAATGGAACTTCCAAAGGAGACCCAGTCTTCTGCTTTGTGGAAGCTTTGGTCTCCGAGTCCTGCACAGTTCGCTGGTGTCACATCCGTGAACCTGTGAGCCGCAGCCACTGCCTCCCTGCCTGGAGAATACTTCAGAATTCTGAAGAAGATGTGAAGTCTCAGTCTCACTGAGCATTTTAAGGTCAATTATACTTTTGTTGTTATTTAGCTTCTTTGTAAACTATAAGATAGTTTTAATTAATAAATATTGCCCAGATTGTATTTATAATACCCCCAGGTTTTTTTGTTTTTTGTCCTCTACCACACACTTAGCCTTTTATTTTCAGGGTCCTTTATTAGTTACACAAAAGCCTAATGAAAGCCATTCCCCGTCCCAGTTCGGCTCTCCTGAGTGGACTCTGGTTCAGAGGGAGGACTGGGCATCGCCAGCGCCTGCGTGGTGCCTGCCCCACATAGGGCAAGGAGTGGGTCCTGGGCTGCCTGTCCTAGAGGGGCCCTCAACGTGCAGTCAGGAAGCGTTCAGGTTAGACCCCTCACCTCTGAGGTCCTGCGCAGTGTTGCTTTGCGTTCCTATGCAGGAGCAACTTTCTTATTCATTAAATAGTATTTATTAAGGGAGATTATTTGTAAAGGTCTAGAATCTTTCTCCCATCCTTTTTGCCAGTTTCCACTTTTTTTTTTTTTTTTTTTTTTTGAGGCTCACTAGAGAACACAGAACTTTGGGAGATCAATTTGCACAGAACCAATTTCCAGTGTCCAAAAACTTTAGGGTTCTTTTTCCTTCTCCCATTATCATGGGGAGAAACACAAATACATGGCAGGGCTTTTTATAGTGTTCCATGCCCATCCCCCTCCCCCAACCCGGCCCCAATACAACTTTAGAGTTTTAAAAGCCGGCACTTTAACCTCTTGATCCCTGTGAATTCCTAGAAGTGAATGGTTTTAAAAGTTGTAATGCTAGGCTGGAAATCGGTTTTGCTTTCTTTAAAAGGTAAGATCATGTGATTGGAAGAGCACAACAATTTGCTGTGTTTTGTAGAGGACTTTGCAGCTGAAGCTCTTTCTACTCTTTGAGTGTTTAGCCAGAATTTGGAGGGAAGGGCCAACTTAGCGAAAGTGTCTGAGCTGTAGTGTCAAGGTAGTGGAGAACAACAAGAGTGTCCATCAGTTTGGGAGGGGAGGTTCTCACTTTTGAGTTGCCTTAGGGGTAAGATCAGAATGCAGACAGGATCAGTGCCCTTCTTGGCTGCTGAAGAACACTGATCTAGTAGGAACCGACTTGGTTTTGACCCAGGTGGAAATAGATGCTATAAACTGAGGTGCTTGTTCTTATGACACCTGGTGAGTAGACTTGAGAACGTGATTAATGTGACAACCTAAGGAGCGTAGCAGTCAGTCCCTTCAACAAGCTGGCTAAAGCTCAGAGTAGGGAGTCCCTTGTCTTTAACCGTCTTGGAGACCTCAGTTCTGCTAACTTTGAAAATCCAGAGCAGTGGCTGTTCAGTGTGCACTGCTGTACAGGGTGCCTGCTGCGATGGGGCATAAGTATTGTTCTGTTTTAATTTACTGTATTTTTTAATTGGGTAAAGCATTATTTATCTTGATTGATTGTACTACCATTCCACCCCTATCCCCAAATCTAGTATTAGGAATCCTCCTACCTAAAACCAAGTGAACATTTGGGTCAGATGCCTACAATAGCTTCCTCAAGGTGTCCACCACCTTGAATTTGTCCCTTAGCTCTGTGTTCAAGTGTCTGTCATTGAAACTAGTTTTTCGTATTTCGGATTCAGTTGTGTATGATTTAATTTCCTTTCTTAGGAGTCTTTAGGTGGGGAGGGGGAAAAACATACACGTTCATCCCAACATCGCTACCATAAAGATTTGTGATTGCCTCTGTTTGCATAGAGCCAGATCTTCCCCCAGTCCCCTTCCAAGCGTGTCTGCATCAGGGATGTCACTTGGTGAGAACAGTAAGGAGGGAAGAGGAGAGAATGAATTTCTAAATGACCTCTTCACCTGGGTTATTGAAATGGCTGCAGAGCAGATATAGGATGATGTTGAACCTTTGGTCTCATTTGTGAAAATTTGTGCAATTTTTTTTCTGTGCAACACTACATACCAATCACCAAATTACAAATTAACCCTTTGTGATCGATGGTATAATGAGCAGTTTCTTTAGGGCTTTCTCTTTCCGGGAAGCGGGAGGGAAAGGAGCAAGATATCATCCTGCTCTTCATTTGTATTTTGGTCCCAAAATGTAAATACAATTTTCTATGTTACTTTTTTGTGGTAACTACCAAGATGAATATTTTAATTAGATAAGTTATATGAAAAGGAAGAAAAATTCCATGTCTAAATAAAAAGACAAACAAAAAATCCCATATACTGTTGTCTTTCTCCCTTATTGTGTCACAGCATGGAAGCTGGTCACAAAATGTCTGGTTCCCGGGCTGTGAGGCAGAGATCTTAATCCTTGGCCCAGGCCATAGAGGAGGTTGGGATTTTGTCTGTAGCACAGCAGGACTGGGGGAAGGGAAAGAGCCCTGTAAGCAAAGGAGGAACTCAGACAAACGTGAGCAACTAGAGGGGACCAGGCACTGTCCTCCGTTACCCTTAAAACCCTGCGACTGAGCTAATAGCCCCATTAACAGTTAGAAGCTCAGGCCCAGGCAGTGAAATAATGCACCCAAAGCCACACAGCTAGTCAGTAGCAAAGGAAACTCAGATTCTCCGACTGCAGAGAATGCCACTCTACCTTTCAGTCACTTCCTGGGGGTGTGAACGACACTGGTAGGTCCCTTGGTCTTACAATGGCTTCCTAATGAGAACATAATGAGCACTAATGCAGGCCCTGTCAACAAGGAATTAATGAGAACCTGCTGTGTTGGCTGAGCGGCTGGAGTTCCAGCAGCTTCTAATGGAGCCAAGGGCTTGGTTTCAGCCCCTGCGTACATCCAGTGGGTTGGATCTTCCCTTAAACCTACAACATCTCGTGGCAACACAGTTTTACTGTCCCTTCTCTCCTAGAGACGGAATTTTTGGTATATAGTCTGGACTAATTTTTCCCAGTTGTTTATTGGATCTAATTCTGTTAGAATTACTATACATTGAAGTTAATTATGGAACATGATATGATGGATGACTTTACTCAAGGTTTGTAAGTTAGTCCCTTATTAATTCAACTTGCTGAACTAAGACCTGTATTAGACCCTGGACTACAGACTAACACAGTCAAGTCTGGCTCTCACAGTCTGGTAAGAGTAACTGGTCCCGCTGGTTATACACCTACTATGTGCCACACACCACTCTGTCTCATAGACATTAACTTTGTTGTCACAATGATCCTACAAGGTAGGTGGTCAGGGCCCCAGTTTGAAAATGAGAAAACTAAAGCACAGAAAACTAAGAATTTGCCCAAGGTCACACAGTCACTGAGCAGTGGTGCCGTTTGTTCGCCTCACTCCCAAGCACACATTCTCAGTCACATTTAACTATCTCATAAACACACACATACCCGATATTAGACTTCTGCAGCAAAACTGACTCCAATGCAAAAAGATGCCTGGGCCCAGGCCCTCATCATTTTTAAGAATGATTTTTCTCTCTGCTGCATGTAACTGATGCCCAGAAGAATTCTCTGCTGGCTAATTAGCTTGACAGATGCCCCCTTCACAGGGTTTCTCTGCTGGCGTTCCGCATCCATTGGAGTGTCTCCCTGGTTGTTGGCTGAATGGTGAAATAGGCATTTGTCTTCACAGACCCCCGACTTTTTCTGTGACGCCTACTGTCTCAATGCTTTTAGTTCAGGCCATGAACATTGTATATAGCTACACCCATGTTTCTCAAACATAGACTTTCAGGTTGGCCCCTAAGCTATGTCCAGAAGTGACATTGATCATATTTCATTGGCTGCACCTAAACTCAAAGGAACAGGGAAGTTCCTGGACACACAACTGGAAATATTTGCTAACAGCACCAAAGACTCCAAAGGCAAGCACAGTGCCCTGAGTACTCTACAAGTCCACCCAGACTCAAATCCCACATTTCCGAGATGTGTGTCTTTGAACCAGTCACTTAACCTCTGCATCTCAGTTTCTTCCTCCAAAAATATGAAAAACACATCAGCCTTGTAGAGGCATCTTATACTAATTTAATGAGTTAAATAAAACATGTAAAGCGCTTAGAAAGGTGTCTGGCACATAGAGCTCAGGACATGTTAGTCAGGATGTTGGTGATGAATTAGGTGAAGTACCTAACACAGAATGGGCATTTAGTAAAGGGTTGTTGTTAGAACTGAAACTCTGAGGAAGAAGACCTGTCCAAGGTAACCCAGCTGGTCAGTGCAGCATGATGGCTAAAAGCCTGAGCTCTGGGGTCTCAGCCTGGCACATAGTAAGTACTCAATGAATGGTAATATTTGGAGAAGGCTCAACGTGGTAAGAGCCCGGACTCTGGAGGCCCACTGCCTAGGCTGAAATCCTAGTTCCATTACTAACCAGCTATGTAGCTATGTGACCTTTGGCAAGTTATTTAGCCATCCTGTGCCCCAAGATGAAGATAATAATAGGAAACTTGTATTTATAAAGATTATAAAGTAGCCCTGGCTGGTGTGGCTCAGTGGATTGAGTGCCAGTCTGCGAATCAAAAGGTTGCTGGTTTGCTTCCCTGTCAGGGCACATACCTGGGTTGTGGGCCAGCTCCCTAGTTGGGCAGGTGTGAGGGGCAGCTGATTAATGTTTCCCTCTCTTTCTTCCTCTCTCTCTCAAAATAAATAAAAATAAAATCTTTTTTAAAAAGATTAAAATATAAGTAGCCCTGGCTGGTGTGGCTCAGTGGATTGAGCGCCAGCCTGCGAACCAACGGGTTGACGGTTCGATTCCCAGTCAGGGCACATGCCTGCATTGCGGGCCAGGTCCCCAGTGCAGGGCATGTGAGAGGCAACCACACATTCATGTTTCTCTCCCTCTCTTTCTGCCTCCCTTCCCCACTGTCTAAAAATAAAGAAATAATCTTTAAAAAATAATAATATAAGTAAAGTCTTTGGGATAGTGCTTGCATATTATTAGTGCCATATGCTTGTTAGCTATTGTTACTGTACTCTTGGTTTGCCACAAAGAAGCATTCAAAAGTAACAGAGAAATATTTGTTTCTCTTGGCCTAATTTGGACAGGAAATAAAGGAAAACATACAAATTCATCAGTCCTTGAGCTACAAAAATGTTTGCAGATGGAGCCTAGGAGTAGGAGAAAGAAAAAAATTCAAAATTTTTCCTACCTGCCCCACGGTAGTCCCAGAAGTCAGTGAATATTCCTATTAGCCCTCAGACAAATACAGGAGGAGTGCAAGAGAAGGGGCAGTCAGACTAAGCAGAAGAGGCTGATTCCCAAACCAGCTAAACTACTCTTTCTTCCAACTTAAGCCGTCTAAGCAATTGCAGTTTCCCATCCAACCACATGGGAGCGCTGAGCTGAAAGTCTTGCTCTTGGCAATAGTGATGAAGAACTATTTAACCTTTTCCCATAGATCCAAACATTTTTCATGCATTATCTCATATTACCCTCATGATAAAACCCTAAAAAGTAGCTTTTCTTATTCCCATTATATATGACAAATCTGAGACTTAAGAGAAGCTAAGCAACTTGCCCAGCAGGCCATTCCTAGTATTTGGGGGACTGGATCGAGAGTACAAGAGGAGGCATACTTAAAAAGTTATAAATGGCGCTAATAAAATATTAAATAAAATACAGCCTATTCCGCTACATTGACAAATAAATTTTCACAATGTCCTAAAGGCCACATTCAAATTTCTGAGTCTCTTGGAAGTCTGCACTAGAAGGTCGTGAATAGGGGATAGCAGAACCTTTGCCCCACTCCCTCCCCTTCTCTTCATAACCTTAAGTATGTTTCCCTGCACGGGGCCTTGTGCACACGTGTGCAGATGTCGTAACCTGTACGCTCATGTACTGTCCTAGAGTTTCTAAACTGAAAGGATCCATCAGGTATCCAGCACAAAATGACAAAACAGCCACAATATCACATTTCAAAATACTAGGGACCAAGAGAAGATCTTAAAAGCTTCTTCTAGAATGGGGTTGGGGGGAGAACCCAGAGAAAGACTCAGGAATCGGAATGATATTGTTCTTCTCCAAGCTAGAAGGAAATATAGAAATATCTTCAAACTTCAGAGAGAATTCAATCCTCAGCCAAATTACCAAATACTCATGTAACAGAAAAATAAATCCATTTTTGGTAGTCATTTAGCATGTATGGTGGGGTGGTAGCCACCTCTAAGGTGGCCTCAAATGAGTTCTACCTCCTGGTATTTGCACCCTTCTGTAGTTCCCTCACACCTTGAATATGCCTGACCTATGGGACCATGAGATATTGCAGAACTGATGACATGTGACTTCTAAGGCCGGGCCATAAAAAACACCGTGGTTTCTACCTTGCTCTCTCTTACGTCCCTTGCTCTGGTGAAAGCCAGCAACCATGTCCTGAGGATGCTCAAGCGGTCCTATGGAGAGGTCCATTTAGCAAGGAACTGAGGCTGCTTGCCAACAGCTTGCACCAACTTGCCAGCCGTGTGAGTGCACCATCCTGGAAGTGGACCCTTCAGCCCCAGTCCAACTTTCAGAGGACTTCAGGCTCATGAGCAAGCTGGACCAGAACTAGCCAGCCAAGCCAGAAATTGTGAGATAAATGTGAATTGTTGCTTTACTCCACTAAGTTTGGGAATAATTTGTTACACAACAAAAGATAGATAACTCAGGTATATTGGGGTGGGGAAAGCCAGTGTTTTGCAGTTCTTCCAATCAAAAGGGGAAGTCTGTCGACTCCTGAATTTGAATTTCACCGATGAAATTTGTTTTGGCTCAAGAGACATTAGCAAAAATTATAGAAGCTGGGAGTTAAAAAATGCTTGTGTAATGGATCTTCCCTGTCTTGCTCCTGAAACTCTGCAACTGCTTCCATGTGACTAAGCTCAGGTAGCCTGCTGGAGACATGTGGCCCATCACTTCAGGTGACAGCCAATATCATCAACTGGAAATGTGAGTGAGGCCACTCCAAACTATCTAGCCCAAGCCAGCTGGCCCAGAAAAGAGCTTCCCAGGCCATCTACAAGTCATGAGAAATAGTAAATTCTTCTTTAAAGCTTTTAAGTTTTGGGCTGATTTGTTACACAGCATAAGCTAATGATAAACATATTTACTTCATGTGCACCTTTTGCTTCAGGAAACTAGAGGATATGCTCAAAATCTGGTTTGTTTCTAACTCTATCTAATTTGGGGCAAGTTAACTCACCTGTTTCAGCTTCAGTTTTCCTTATCTTCAAATTGGAGATAACAATGGGTAACACTACCTATCTTTTAAAGTTCATGTGACAAATAATTGAGATGAATTGCATATTGTGATCAGCACGATGCCTGGCACATAGTGCTCACTAAGTCAGTACAGGATGACAATGATGACAATGACAAAGAAACCAAAAGTGACGAGAAGTCCCTGAGCAAGACCTGTGTAGGTCCTGCAGTGGGACACAATCTTTCCAGAGAAAGGCTACTGAGTGTATCATTCAATTAAACAAACATTTACTAAGCTTCTACCACGTGTCCACCCTCTTGCCTGAAATGGTGGCGTGAAAGCAGGAATAATTCATGACACTGAGCTATGCTGAACCACAACCAAGTCCGCTTATTTTGCAAAGAATTGAACGAGGACATCAAAATATTTCTAAATGAAACTTGAACCTATGGCTATTTTGGTTTGTATTTCACCAGTCTCATCTTGCCTGAACACTCCAGAGCCACAAGTGAAGGGCAGGGAAGACTCAGACTATGCCATCACTCTCTAAAAGCATGTTGCACCTGAGTACACAAACCCAAAACTGAGAAGTTCCATAAACTGAGATTTAAAATGTGTGATACATCTCGAATTTCTTATTATAGTCTATTTTATTTTTTTGAATGCTGGACACATTCCTCTAAATGGACTACAACACACAACCTGCCCTTTGAAAAAACTGCTCTGACATGTCGCATGGGGGGAGGGGGACTGAAAGTTCATCTGGTCCAATCCTTGCACTTTACAGGGGGTAGCGTGAAACTGAACTCAAGGCCACACAGCTAGTGAGCGGCAGTGCTTGACTTGAATCAAGATCTGACTCAGCTATTTGAATTCTTACCATGCGTCAGCCACTGTGCTGGGTTCTTTAAGTGCATTATTTCATTTAATACTCACTGCGATCCTATGAAGCAGATATTACCATTTCCACTTAACAGATGAGGAAATGAAGTTTCAGGACGGGGGAAAATGACTTATTCAGAGTGTCACAACGTCAGCAGCAGACCCAGGACTCGTCTTCAGATCCGGCCGTCCATGAAACCCACACTCTCGACCACTGAGCCCACTGTGAAGAAAGTGGTTATGAAAGTGGGTTTGTAAGGTCTAAGCGCCTAAACGTGCACCTGCAAGGCGGTGCTAACGTCGCGCTCTCTGCTCTTCAGGGCCTTATCCCTGCGCACGCTTTCCTCCGCCCGCTCCCTAAAACGATGGCGGTAAAAGAAAAGAGCACAGACTCGCGCCTAAGTGGGAGGAGAATTCGAAACCCAGCCCCACCATTTACTCGGAAAACGGGCTGAACCTCTCTGCCCTTCAGTTTCCACAACTGTGAAACTAGGCGGGCAATAGCATTTGTCTCTAGGACTCAAAGAGTCAACCTTAACTCCTTGACAGCTGGAAGGGCTCGTCAAACGTCCGTCCTCCCCCGAGCCCCGCCCCCTCCTCCCTGGACGCATGCGCCGCTTCCGGGGCGCCTTTTACGACGCGGCGGCCACAGCGCGCTTGGCGGCCGGAGCGGAGGGAGCCGGCGCGGACGGCGGCGACTGGGCTGAGAGAACGCACGGGCGTCGGCGTCGCCATGTCGCACGGCCACAGTCACGGCGGGGGCGGCTGCCGGTGCGCGGCGGAGCGCGAGGAGCCACCGGAGCAGCGCGGCCTGGCCTACGGCCTGTACCTGCGCATCGACCTGGAGCGGCTGCAGTGCCTCAACGAGAGCCGGGAGGGCAGCGGCCGCGGCGTCTTCAAGCCGTGGGAGGAGCGGACCGACCGCTCCAAGGTGGGCCTTCCCGGGCCTGGGGCGGGCGAGGCGGGGACCCGCGCGGGGCCTCGGGCCGCCGGTCTGCTCTGACAGCCTCATTCCTGGAGTTAAAAAGCGACAGCCCGGGTGCCAAGCGCTTTCCCGTGCCCATCTCCTGCCAGTCCGTCGGGAGCCGAACAGAATCGAGTCTCCCCATTTTGCAGATAGAGGAACTGAGGCCCAGAGAGGGAAAGGGGCGCCCCCAACGTTCTGTTCCGGGCCTTTGGTGGGTAGTGAGGGAGGACGGCCATGAGGGTGTTTTCCTACCGTTAGACCACTAGTTCCAGGGGCTGCCCGATCATGTCAGCTGGAGACCAGTCGCGGGAGACAAGCTTGTCACCCAACCTACTGGAGCCTTCGCCACGGTGGGGTCGGAGAGCCATTTGAAAGTTGTGGACCGCTTAGGCGCAGATCGTTGCACGCAATTTCAGGGGCTTAGTCGGCCCTGGAAGTTCTTTAAGGAGCTCCCCAGTAAGAGCCCTCTGACTGGATGGTCGGTGGCTATCAACTTACTGACATCAAGCTAGTGAGTGCGGTAAACGAGGGAGGTTGACTACTTACTTGCATTGCATTCCAGCTGTAGAGCAGGATAGAAGATACCTGAAATTGTAGGCTCTCAGCAAATATTTGTTGCTTTCTCCTCCCTCCTCCCCACCCCCTCCAGTTTGTTGAAAGTGATGCAGATGAAGAGCTTCTGTTTAATATTCCGTAAGTATCTCCTTGGTGCTTGACTCAGGCTAAAGAGACTGTACCCTGGTGCTGTATCAGAACTCATTCATTGGTTGTGTCAAGAACCCTCTGTTCTAGAAAGGGAGTAAATTACTGTGGTGGGTTTGAGGAGGAAAGCGTCTTAGATTTCCTGGCACAGACGAAAACGATGTATAGGTCGAAGGATAACTGAAAAGGTAAATTTCTTAGCGCCGCAGAATGCCAGAAGCGGAAAGGATCTTAGAAGTTATGTAGTATGAGTTCACACTTGAGTCAGTTGAAGCTCGGAAAGGGGAAGGGTCTTTCCCAGAGTCAGCAGAGATTCAAACCCAGGTTGACAACCATCTCTTTTGCCTTCTGGCAGATTTACAGGCAATGTCAAGCTCAAAGGCATCATTATCATGGGAGAGGATGATGACTCACACCCCTCTGAGATGAGACTGTAAGTGTCAAGGGTTTATGCCTCCTGGTTCTTTCTCTTTCCTCTTTATTCTAGGATAACATAATTTTTTCTTTTTACTGGCTTAAATATCCCCTCCCCCCCTTGAAAAAAGTGTTAGCCTTGTTCTGCATCAGAATACACTTATCTCTTCCTGAATTAACGGCTCTTTTTTAGATAAAGCATCTTTAAGACTAACAGCTTGTCTTTTTTCAAAGTGCTTCTGTGGCACCAGTCTTTCAGGGAGCATCCTAGAACTGCCAATTGTTGATGACTTTGCAGTTTTCTTAGTGACCCACTTGCAGAACTCCAATGATTGTACTCTGGGGGGTAGCTTGTTATTTCATACAGTTAGAGTCTTTGTGTGTGTTTTGTTGACACGGAATTATTCCACTTGAGTTTGTGTGGCTTTTAGTTAACAAAATTGTATATACCTTTTGCAACACTGGATCTGTTGCCACCAGAGCTAGTACCCTTTTTTTTTTTTTTTTTTTAACAACTTGCCTAAAAGAAGGGAAAACCACTTTTAGAGTGTTGGAGAAACAAATATCAGAGGAACTTCTTTTTTTTTTTAAAGATTCTATTTATTTTTAGAGAGAGGGGGAGGGAGAGAGAAAGAGAGAGCAGCATTTACGTGGGAGATATAGAGAGATACATGGATCAGTTGCTTCTCACACGCTCCCAGCTGGGGACCTGGTCTGCAACCCAGGCCTTCGCCTTCACTGGGAGTCGAACCAACAACTTTTCAGTTTGTAGGCTGCCACTCAATCCACTGAACCACACCAGCCAGGGCTCAGAAGAACTTTACATAAAATAATTTCTGCTGAAAAATTAATCAATATAAAACAGATTTAAGAAATCAGTGCTATTTTTTGAATGTTAGGAACATAAATGTTGTGGTTAAGAGTGGGTTCTGGATGCCCGCTGGTGTGGCTCAGTGGATTGAGTGCTGGCCTGTGAAATGAAAGGTCGCTGCTTTGATTCCCAGTCAGGACGTATGCCTGGGTTGTGGGCCAGGTCCCCAGTTGCGAGCATGAGAGGCAACTGATCTATTTCCTTTGCACACGTTTCTCTTTTTTCCTCCTTTCCCCTCTCTCTAAAATAAATAAGTAAATAAAATTTTAAAAGTAAATATATAAAATCTTTTAAAAAATGTAAAGCTTAGAATGCGTCTAGACCACAGTAAGTGTCCAACTTTTGGAGAGAGGTACAAAACTTACAGTTCTAAGCCCTCAGTTCTAAGTACTTTACACATTATACTTTATTTAATCTAAAATGTCATTGATTGTGAAGTGCACCATTTTTTTATGTACCATTAATAAAGAAAAAAATATTGCCTGTTTAACTATGGCAAACCATTGAAACATCCAGAAAAGTTAAATTAAGAATTAAATCAGTGAAATTTGAACACAGACTAGGATATTAAAAAATTGTTAATTTTTGTTAAATGGTAAGATAGGTATATTTTTTTAAGAAGTCCTATTTAGACCCCTGACCAGTGTAGCTCAGTGGACTGAGTGTTGGCCTTCGAACCAAAGGGTCGCAGGTTCGATTCCCAGTCAGGGCACATACCTGGGTTGCAGGCCAGGTCCCCAGCAGGGTGAGTGTGAGAGGCAACCACACATTGATGTATCTCTTTCCCTCTTTCTCCCTCCCTTCTCTCTCTAAAAATAAATAAATAAAATCTTTTAAAAAGTCCTGTTTAGAGATACATACTGACACATTTATGAAGAAATGATATGTTTCGGATTGCTTTAAAATATCAAGCACAAACAAAATGGGGGTGGTAGGCATAGCGGCATAGTGTGGATTATTGAAGCTGAGTGATAAGTATACGGAGATTTATTATATTATTCTCACTGCTTTTATATGTATTTGAAAGGCAGCTATGCCTACCACATTACCATCAATGCTTCATGTTTTGTGTCTGTTTGAAATTTTTTATAGTAAACTTTTTTTCAAAAGATGTCTTTATTAGAATTGATTAAATTTAATCTCCACTACAACTACATGGGATATGTACTATCATTATCCCCATTTTACAGATGAGGAAACAGACACAGAGAGGTTAAATCACTTTCCCAAAATTATACAGCTGGTAAGTGACAGAGTCAGTTTTCAAACATAGGTAGTCTGGCCCCAGAGACACTGCTTTTTAACTACAGGGTCTGGCACAAATAACACCCCTTTTTGGTTGCAAAATCTTTTATTACAAAATCATGAGCATGTAATTCTCTAACATAACAATATCACACTCAAGCATACCATATGACATTTTAGGCGAAATGTCCAAAAACTATGAATTATTACACTGATATTATTACCCTACCAGTCACATTCAAGCAGGCTTTATTTTTGCCAGACCCTGTGCAGTGCTATACTGCCTCTCATAATGCTGCTCATAAATGTTTGCTGCTGTTGTTGTTGTTATTAATCTGTGCCTCATTGTTAGAAACACTTTGAAGCAAACATTTGTTTTCTTAAATTACATATTTTGTTGCAGTTAAGTTCTAGGCTCCCACCCTGGCTTGTGTGGCTCAGTGAATTGAGTGCCAGCCTGCAAACCAAAGGGTCACTTGTTCGATTCCTGGTCAGGGTATATGCCTGGGTTGCAGGCCACGTCCCCAGTAGGGGGCGTATGAGAGGCAACCACACATTGATGTTTCTCTTCCTCTCTTTCTCTTTCCTTTCCCCTCTTTCTAAAAATAAATAAATAAAATCTTTTTTAAAAAAGTTCTAGGCTCCCTCCTATGTGGGTGTGTTAATAAAATACTCTAGAGATTGGGGGTGGTGGGGGGTTGGCTCAGTCCTTTAGAATTTGTGAGTTAGGGTTAGATAGAGGAGACAATATTTTCTTTGAAAAATGTTTTCTTCACTAACAATTTTACTTGACTTTCCAAAAGCATTTTGTGAGATTGCAGCCTTTTGTGCTCTTTTCAAAACAGAAATCCCCAAATGGTATTTTTTTAAGAATTGTAAGATGGCTCAGTATATAGAGTAATTTAGAACAGAAAAAATGTTTGAGTGAGGGTTACCTGATCTTATCTCTTAACTGTGTTTAATATGTTTCTGCCAAAGTATTTTCCCCATGAGTAAGCTGTTTAATTTAAACATCCTCAGCTTGGTCTGAATGTGCTGAGTTGCTTATTTTCTCCATGCGTTTGCTGCATGTGACCTAGTTTGAACTATCTCTTTGTGTATTGCTTGTCATGATCCTAACCCACTCAAAGATGCCATTGGCTTATGTTGCAGTTTTTAGCTCTTGTTGGATTAAAGATATTTGTGTTTAAATGCCAGTAAGATGCCGTTCCCAAAATTTGATCTCTTTTTTTGATAGGTCTGAAGGCAGTTGAGTCAGAAGGAAGTTTTGAAAAACTTAAAAATGTGACATGCACATTTCTTTATTTTCTTCCCTTTTCTCAGGTACAAAAACATTCCACAGATGTCCTTTGATGATACAGACAGAGAACCAGATCAGACCTTTAGTCTGAACCGGGATCTTACAGGAGAATTAGAATATGCTACAAAGTAAGCACTGGGCCTGTCTTCCACTCTTCGTTACTTCTTTTTGTTCTTTTTCTTTTCTTTTTTTTTAATTGAATTCATTGGGATGGCATTGGTTAATTAAATTATATAGGTTTTAGGTGTTCTGTGGCTTCTGAGGAACAGCATGTACTCCCTCATCTGTAATGAGCATATGTGCATTAACACTTGCTGGGCTCGCCTTTTTTTTTTTTTTTTTTTTTTTGGCTGTCTTCTGCTCCCCTAGCATCAGAAACAAGTTAAAACAGTGGAGGAAGCTTGATCCTTGGCTTGGTCAATTTTAGACAGAGATTGGATGCAAGCCATAGATTTGTTAGCTTGTAAGCAGTTAGCAGATCTGAATGACCTCTAGGATGGTCTTAGGAAAGATGTTTTCAGAACTCCTATGTGCATAGTTGGCTTATAGCAGGCCAAGTTACAAGTGATCTCTTCATTATTTCTTCACGAGGTCTCTCTTTTTCCTAAGATGAGGTCAACAAAGAATCTCTCCTTGGTCATACAGCATTTCTTCATCCTGTTCCTTGAGGACAAGGGCAGTGTTGATTCATTTTTCTATCCCTACTGCCTTGGACAGGATCTGGCAAATGCTCGGTAAATGTTCATGGAATCTGTTGCTTGTCCAAAGGAGAATGAGATGTAATGCCCCAAGAATGTTCTCTGACATTTGTCTGGGTTTCACCACAAGTTGCAGCTGGAATTGTTGTTTTTGACATTGTGGTGAGGTGTTAATTGAACTGTAACCTATGTTTTCCCTCCCCACTTTTTTCATCCTCTAGAATATCTCGTTTTACAAATGTCTATCATCTCTCAATTCATATTTCAAAAAACTTTGGAGCAGATACCACAAAGGTCTTTTATATTGGCCTGAGAGGAGAATGGACTGAGGTAAGACAGGGTTGGAAACATTATTGCCCCCTCCAGTATATGTATACATGTTTATATATATGCATGCTATAGTAGTAGGCACTCTAAGAAATGGAAAAAGAGCAAGTTGAGACCTTAATTGCTTTCAATCTGTTTATAATTTTTCTTGGTTTTATCATCGTAAACTGTCTCATTTGAGAGACTATAAGTATTTTTAAGGATGTTGAAATAATTCAGTTCATATCAGTTCAGTTTTTCACTTTAAAATTCAGTGGTTCACTTGTTTCCTTCAGTCAACACTTCTTTCTAGTCAATGTTTTTGATAACCTTTCTTGTTCCAGACATCAGAAATAAAATGATAAACAAGATAGACTAGGTACTCTTCTCATGGTGCCTCCAATATAATGAGAGAATGAATCTTCTAAGCTATGGAGTGAACTATTGGTAATGATCTTCCCAGCCTTCTTAAGATAAAAAATATCAGAAGCAGGAAGAGATTAGATGATGACTTCTAGAAATGGGCCTGAATAAGAACAACTCCAGTGTGCCTTCTGGAAAATAGCCAGCTGACATAGCCTCTCAATTTTCTTGCAGTTTCGCCGACATGAGGTGACCATCTGCAATTATGAAGCATCGGCCAACCCAGCAGACCACAGGGTCCATCAGGTTACCCCACAGACACACTTCATTTCCTAAGGGCTGGCCAAGGCTCCCACAGAGGCCCTGCGCCAGTGAAGATGTATGACCACCTGTTGGGAAAGACGAAGTGATGGAGCTCCAGGGAGAGTTGGCTGTCACAGCCTCTGCCAAGTTTTGTCTTTGAGGCTTGCTGTAGAAACGTGGCCTATGGAAGACAACACACCACCAGGAAGGTTGTATGGGTGCCAGGGGACAGTCATGGTTCTCTAGGGCCCTGTAGAAATTGGGTCTTGGTCTGGTCGGCATCTGGCAGTCATAGATAATGCCTGCCTTTCCAGTCAGTGTGGCCATGGATTCCAAGTGTCTCGTTTTGTGGCAGGATTTTTGTGTGACTTTTTTTTTTTTTTTAATGGAAACTATTCCTGGGCTGCAATAAACTTTGTGAAGCCTCAAAATTGTATTCATGTTAGTCGTTGGGAGGGTCTTCAACTAGAAACACTTGTCCCTGCTTGTTGCTTCTCCCTGTCATCATTCAGCATTCTTGTCAAGGTGCCCAGCTTGGAGTTGTCTGTCATGCACAGTAGTGTCCCATGGTTATAGCTGGAAGAGCAGGACTCTCATGATGCTTAATTAATAGCTTGAGGAGAAGGTCTTTTTTCCTGCTTCCTAGGTAGGCAGTCCAGGGAGAACATGGGCATCTCATTTCTGTGTTTGTGGGTATCTGGTCAAGGTAAGATCCTTAATGTTTATTAGCTTCTAACTAGTTTTGTAAGCCCAGTGCCAGAATTTGGAGATCTCAGTTCTTCTGTCCATGGCTTTTTATTCACTGTGACTAATATGCTTCCTAATAAATCTTTGCCAGACTTAACATTTGTGTATTCTTTTGCATTCCTGATAATACTGATGAAACTTTTCCTTTACTGGGAACTGTATGTAACTTTGAAATTTGCTATTTCGGACCAGGTACATAATAAATGTAAATAAGGAGGAACAGGTTCTGCAGCTCATCAGAAGAAATGAGAGTGAGCAAATTAAGTGAGCAGTCTGAAGGTGGGCTCAAGACTTTGGACTTAAATTTTGAAAGTCTGGACAGAAATTGAAAGAATATAAGTTATCTACAAAGAGAATTTCGAATAGTCAGTATTCTCTCCCTTGCAGAAAATAGAAATAATTTATAAGGGGAATTAGTTTTGAATCTGACCCTCTTGAGAAAACTCTTGTGGGTTTGGCCCACACTGTTAGGAGGATATACCCACTGTTTATCCAGCCTGTCCCAGGTAAAGCCTGCCACCACCAAGCTTTGTAGAGCTTCAACATTTCTCAAATAAAGCCTGGAATCAACCAGAAGGTAAATGCAATTCTTGATGCACTAAGGGTCCTACTCTTCAGCCTCTTCACTTCAGTTGGATCTATTTGAGATAAAAGGGTCACACTTTGATTTGGAGTAGGAAGAAACAAGTAGAGTAACAAATTGATGTTTCTTTTACTCTCTCTAAAATCAATAAATAATTAAAAAATCTTAGAGCAGAAGAGCCCTTCGTTAATTCCACTAATTAAAGCACTAATCACAGGTAGCCTCTGAAGAATTTGCTCAAAAGTGCCACAGTGTCTCGGGATGAGGGGTTCAGGAGGAATCGTTCATTTTTCCATAGAAGGTTCAGCAAGGATTCTGTTGAGAGTGGGAACAGCTATGTTGTCTTCATCTGCTCATCCCCTTTCTGGTCCTGGGTCCTTGGCTTGCTGTTCTCCTCTGACCCCAAAGCTTTCCTGCCCAGAATCCTCTGTCTCTGATTTGTTGAGCACTTAAGACCAAACTGCCTCTTACCCTGGGAAAAAGTGCTTTGTTAAACTTCCAAGTTTACTGCTGCCAGTTCAAAGAAAAACTGGTATAGGTTATGCTGAAAGAATGAATCTTAAGCTGCTAAGAGATGAGGATGATTCATTTCCTGTTGGCAGATGTACACATACTCTCTCAGGGACATGGTCCTTCAACTCACTCTGCCTTTCCTTCCGGCCTTTCTGTGGACCCTGATCCCCATTTCCACTTTACTAGTGCAGCAAAGGGTGACTCTGGTGCCCAAATGAAGCCCTTTTTGTTCTGAGTAACTGAAGCTCATTGATGGAGGTACTTTGTGCACGGCCTTCCTGGCACCGCATGTCCAGGGCAGAGCTAAGGCGACACTGCCGATAGCTGTCCAGCTGTCCTGCTATGGCCTGTGTTATTTTCCCAGAGTCCCTTTAAGAGTCATTAAGGCCTCACACTGATGTTATGTGTATTAAGCATTTCCGCATGACCTCATTTGAGCCTACCAGCAAAGCTGTGAAATAGGCATGGTGGTTATTATCACCATTTCATAGCCCGGAAGGCAGGTGCGCAGAGGTAGCATTACAGTACAATCCTGAGATTGTTGTTTACTTCCCCTCCCTGGGCCTCAGTTTCCTCATCTTTAAAACAACACTGGAGGACTAGATAGTTTCAAAGCATCTTTAAGGATCCTATCCATGATCCTGGGTTAGGGCATGAAAGCCAGTGCTGGATACCCAAGACCATAATAAAGTGTGGCCCATGGGGGTGGGAAGGTGGGAAACTGTATGCTCTGTGAGTAACGCCTTTCCCTCCGGATACCCTTCCTCCAGGAGGGGCATGGCTGGTGGCAGCAAATGGGTGTCTTGGGTGCACTGCCTGAAATCTGCAGGTGACTCCGGGGCTTAATTACGGGGAGTGGCCCCACGGTATCCAACATGGCAACTCCTATCTGGTGCAAGCCCGACGCCCTTTTCCGGGTTCCGTACCGCTGGCCAGGCTACTTCCGGTAGCGCGATGGCTGGGTTCCCGGGACTCGAACGGAAGTTCCGGCGGGGGCGGTGGAGGGGGAAGAGTGTGTGTCTGTGCCGGAGAAAGAGGAGAATCGCCCGAGAGGTCTCGAAAGCCCCAGGGAGTGAAGGTATCCTGGTCCCCGGCCAGCAGGCAGAGCGAGGGCACTGGGGGAGATCAGACCACAACGGGGGTCCTGGCGAGTGGGGAGGGGGAACCGCAATTGTGAGAGATGGGGGTGGGGAGTGAGGTGTGAGGAGGCGCTGGCCGGTCGTGGGGACTTTGGGGGTAAAGAGGGCTAAGAAGTGGGGGACTGGGTGTGATAGAGGGACTTTCTGGGTCGAAAGTGGAAGATCCCATGGTGGGGTGGGGGCTCCCCAGGGTCAAAGACACGCCACTTTGTGGGCAGGAGCGGGTCCTGGGTCAGGGTAGAAAATGTCACCGTAGGAAGGCGATGACCCTTAGTCAGAACAGAAGTTCCCATTATGGGGAGTGGGAGACCCTCGATCCGGTGGGAAGTTTTTACGGTGAGGAGGGAGACCCCAGCGCGGGGTGGGGCACCACTCTGTGAAGGGGGGACTGTGAGGCAAGAGGTGGAAGTCCTTCAGTAGGGAAGGGAAGGAATCCCAGCTTACGAGGAAAGGTGTATTCCCTGTGGGAAGAGGGACCCTAGGGGTCAGAGGTGAGGGATCCCACTGTGGAGAGGGGCACTCGCGATCACAAATGGAAAGTGGAAGCCAGTTGGGAGGGTGGGAGCCGCAGGGAAGGGTAGGCGCTTAAGAGCAGGGACAGGTAGCAGAAGCTTCTGGGGAGTTCGAGGGATGCTAAGGAAGGTGAGCAGCCAGCCTGCCTGACATTCTTTTGTGTGTTTGGGAGTCCCAGAGTGTGGTCAAGCTGGGGGACCCATTTGAAGTCCCACTGAGGGGAACGTGGGGCACCAGTTAGGACATGGGTGGTGGACTGGAGTCTCTGTGCCCTCTGGGGACATGGGCAGCCCGGGGGCTCTGGGAATGGCTGAGCCAGAAACTGCTATGAAGGCCGGGTGGGGGCTGGATGGGTGCGAAGTTGGAGAAAATGTGTGTGTGGGGAGGGGACAGTAGGAGCTGGAAGCTTATTTCCCTGCCATTTTTCTCCCCTTCATTTCCCAGTAGTGCTGGGGGTTGGGGAGGAAGGGCCTCGGGGGCTCTAGAGAAGGGGGATGACTGGAGAGCCGGGAGGAGGCAACTGCCTGCCGAGGCCTGTTAGGTGAGGGGAAGGCTGCAGGGGATGTCCTGGCTCCCTGCCCCCACAGTCCCTAAACTCTGCCTTTGCCCATTTCCAGCAAGTTCAGGCTGTGCGGTGGCCAGAACCAGGGGCACTAGAGGGGGCGCCTCTGCTTCTCGTCTCTGGAACAGAGGCAAACTTCCTACCTACTCCGGCTGGGGATTTCTTGCCTGCCTTCTCTTTGTGCCCAGGACAGAACCTGCGGTGCTGTGTGGGGCTGATGGCCTGGGCGCCCCTGGGTCGGAGGCTCTGCCCCTGTGTTAGGAGTCTGTCCGCTCCCTGGGCTTGCTCCTGACCATTCCCCTGAATCTGCACAGGCCCCAGCCTGGAGCCCTGCAGTGTATGTGTGGTAACACCATGTCTGTGCCCCTGCTCACCGATGCTGCCACTGTGTCTGGAGCTGAGCGGGAAACGGCTGCGGTAAGGATCCTCGCCCACCCACAGCAGCCCCCTGGCCAGCAGGAGGGGTGTGGGAAAAATCGCAGGGCAGTGATGAGAAGGGAGCAGCCTGGAGCCAGGAGTGGGGGAGGGTGGATAATAACCTGTTTGGCTGCTACCTGAGTTCCCCCCAGGTCCATGGGGGAGGGGGAGGGGTGGCCAGAAGTTGGAGGACAGTAGGGAATTACAGCAAGATGATGACGGCCCTCTTCTCCATTTCTCCATCTCTCATCCTTTTCCAGGTTATTTTTTTACATGGACTTGGAGACACAGGGTAAGTGAGCTGGGGGTGGGTGTTCCCTGGGGAGGTGGGGCCTGGCCAGTGGGCAGGGCTGGAGAGGCTTGTGCCCTCCCTTCTTCCTCTCCACAATGTTGCCTTTTCTCCTTTCCCTCCTACAGGCACAGTTGGGCTGACGCCCTCTCCACCATCCGGCTCCCTCACGTCAAGTACATCTGTCCCCATGCGTGAGTGTCACCCTAGCAAGGGAGGGATTGAGGGTGGAATCGGATTGGTGGAGGGGGCGGTGATCCTGTGGTCCCAGGTCTGTTCTCTCCCACCAGCTGCATCCTGGGGCCGGGGCCCAGGACAGTGAGAGGTGTCATTTTCAGCCTTTACTCCTGTGGAGCCCCCAGGAGTGGGGTCTAGACCCAGCCCAGGGTCTCCTAGACCTGAGACCTCCTAGAACCAGGACCCCTGTTTCCCTTCCCCAAGTACTCACCGACTGAGCTGGAACCCTGGCGAGCTGAGTGCTGGGCTCTGCTTCTCTATTTCTGCTGCTGATGCTTCAACCACAGCTTCCAGCCCCACGTGGCAGGTTGCCTGGCAACACCTTAAACACAGTCACTGCCTGCTGGGAGGGGCCCCCAGGGACTGCTCCCCCTGCCCCTGCTTCGGCTCCCTCAACCCCCTGGAGCATGATGGCCCTTCTTGCTGTCCCCAGGCCCCGGATCCCCGTGACACTCAACATGAAGATGGTGATGCCCTCCTGGTGAGTTTGGGGAGTGGTGGGTGGGAGCTGAGGGAGCCGTAGGGGGCGGGCCGGGGTCTTCTGTAGCTGCAGTGCCTCTGCTTTCCCAGGTTCGACCTGATGGGGCTGAGTCCAGATGCCCCTGAGGACGAGGCTGGCATCAAGAAGGCCGCAGAGAATAGTAAGGCCCCAGCCCCCCTCAGCACGCCCCCTCCCACCCTTACCCCTCCAGGAAAGCGTTGGGCAATACCTCTCTCTGCTCTCTTCTTGGGGCCCCTCTAGCAGCTTCCCCCCACCCACTCACCCACTCACGCCCCCTCCCCCCAGTAAAGGCCTTGATTGAGCATGAAATGAAGAATGGGATCCCTGCCAATCGGATCGTCCTGGGAGGCTTTTCACAGGTGAGGGGAGAGAGAAGATGGTGGGGGGTGGGTAGACGAGCTGTGTTCCCAGGACTGACTGCTCTTTCTCCGCCTTCCAGGGTGGGGCCCTGTCCCTCTACACTGCCCTCACCTGCCCCCACCCTCTGGCTGGCATTGTGGCACTGAGCTGTTGGCTGCCTCTGCACCGGGCCTTCCCCCAGGTGAGCGTCTCCATGACCCTCTCCTGCCTTTCCAGTCTCCCTGTGGCCTGGGAGTTGTGCTGAGGCGCTGGCTTTGCCCTCTGAGTCTCGTCTGGCCCACAGGCAGCCAACGGCAGTGCCAAGGACCTGGCCATCCTTCAGTGCCATGGGGAGCTGGACCCCATGGTTCCCGTACGGTTTGGGGCCCTGACGGCCGAGAAGCTCCGGTCCGTTGTCACACCTGCAAGGGTCCAGTTCAAGACTTACCCAGGTGTCATGCACGGCTCCTGTCCTCAGGTCAGTGGTCAAGGGCCCCTTCCCACTCCTACCCCTCTCCTTCCCCCCTCCAACCAGGAGCCTCTCACAGTCCCCTCTCCCTTCCAGGAGATGGCAGCTGTGAAGGAGTTTCTTGAGAAGCTTCTGCCTCCTGTCTAACCAGAGTTGCTGGCCCCCAGCGCAGTCCCCCAGCTCATAGGGGACCTAGCACGCGTGGCACCATCTTGGATCTGAGCCGGTCGAGCCGCTGTCCCCACCCTCCCTAACCTATATCCCCTTCCCACAGGCCTCTGGGGCAGGCGGGCCAAGGCCTAGCCAGGCCCTGCTTCCTGGCTTTAGCCACCTGGCTGCCTGCAGCAGGGGCTGGGCTGCTTTCTTCTCCCACTTCCCTGGAGGTGGGCCCCCAGCAGCAGCATTGGAGGGGCTGTAGGCAGCGGGAGAAGGGGCCCAGCCGCTGACCCACTCACTCAGGACCTCACTCACTAGCCCCGCTTTGGGCCCCCTCCTGTGACCTCAGGGTTTGGCCCAAGGGGCCCTCCCAGGCCCCATCTACCCCCTCCCAACTGATTCTGCCCAAGATAATCGTGTGTCTCTCCTGCCTCCACTCCAGCTGCTTCTCAATCATGAATGTGTCTGTGACCCCAGGCCCCCTTGCTGCTGTGGGCTACCTGCTCCTGGGCAGAGTGTTGGTGAGGGGGCAGAGTCCTTGGAGGGGGCCTTCCTTCAGCCCTTTCTGACTTGGGGGCTGGGCCCTGTCTCCCTGTTACCTTCCCCACAGGCCTGGAGCCTGCAGGGCTGGACCGAGGCTCAAGGTCTCCCCCAGCTGTGTCACCCCCACGTTGTCCCCACTCTAGGGCTAGGGGAGGTGGGGGAGGAGTTGCGTCTCATCTTCTGTCTCCATGTGGTTTCGGGTGTTTTCTTGTTGTGTTCTGGATTCCAATAAAATTAAAGAAATTGCTTCAACTCTCAGGCCTGGCTGATTCTATCCAAGGGGTAGGGTGAGACCATGTGTAAGAAAATGCTCCAGTGTAAGAAAGCTTTTTATTTTAAATATTTTGGAAAGTGCCTTCATGGCAGTATAAATTAGTGCCTGGGAGTAAGGTGTCGACTCAGGGCGCTGCCTCCCCCACTGGCTCTTGTGACCTTGATGGATTCCCAGACCCGATGGAGGAGACGAGTTAGAGACCACCCCCGAGTGAGAGGCCCCCAACTCCTGATCAGCAGAGCCCTGGCCCCGTGCCTGGGGGCTGAACAGGCCTGGCTGCGGTTTGAGGTAGGGCAGGCTCTGAGGCCCCTGGGTTCCTGCCAGATGCTGGAGAGCAGGCAGTTGTTTCTCTCTTCTTTCCTGGTCCATGGTAGGCGAGGGCCTCAGGCCTGCGTGCTGAAGCCTGAGGGGTTCTGCTTCTGCCAGCGCCACAGATCTTCACCTGTGATTGGGTGAGGTGTGCGGTCAGGGCCCCACCGGGACACAGGGCCACCGCCTCGGGGCATATCCACCCCCAGGCGCCCCTCGTAGCGCCGAGCTCTCCCAGGGGTCGGGCTGGCACTCACACATCCTGTCCAGCCCTAAGGCTGCTGTCCAGCCCAGCTCCTGGAGGGCCAGGCTTGGGTTGGCATAACAGGCAGCCACGTCACCTTCCCGCCGTGCCACCACCTTGTATGGGATCTGCAAGAGAGGGGACAGTCATAGCTTCGCTGGGCCCGCTGTGGCCTCACCCGGCCAGCTGCTGACTAGGCCCTCAAGGAATGGCGGTCAGGGCAGGATCTCTCGCAGGCACCCAGCACTGAGGCAGGCCGAGTCGAGGTGGCAGTGCCCATCAGGGAGGCCAGTGGGAGGGGCCAGGCCTTCTGCTGAGAGTCAGGTGGGGCAGGGCAGGGTAGCCGCCTACCTTCCTCCCGGAGGCCTTCTCCATGGCCCGGACCATCTGCAGCACTGAATAGCCCGTGCCCGTTCCCAGGTTGTAGATCTGCCCAGGAGAGAACAGGTGCCGTGGAAGGGGCTGGACTAACCACCCCTCTGGGCTCCGTGTGCCCGGAACTCCACTTCCCCTCCCTCGCTTCTCCTTTCTCTTCCTACCCGGCAGCCACACTGATCCTTCAGTTTCCTCAGGGCCGCGATGTGACCCTTGGCCAGATCCACCACGTGGATATAATCCCGGACGCCTGCAGAGGAGGTGGTGGGGCGGAAGGGCTCAGTATAGTCTGTCCCTCCTCAGTCTCCCTCTTGGCCCCCAAGCCTGGATCCTCGTGATCCTGGGCTCACCTGTACCATCTTCTGTGTCATAGTCATTGCCAAAGACATTCAGTGCCTCCCGTCGCCCAATCGCCACCTGGGGTGGAGGTCAGGTCAGCTCTTCCCAGGTCCTCGGCACCGCTGTACCCCTCAAGGCTAGGGCAGCCCTGTCCCTCCCCTTCTTCCTCACCTGGGACACGTAGGGCATGAGGTTGTTGGGGGTGCCCTGGGGGTCCTCGCCGATGCGGCCCGAGGCATGGGCGCCTGTGGGGTTGAAGTAGCGCAGCAGCACTGCATTCCAGGTCTGTGGGACACGGGCCAGGTGATGGGGGCGGGGCTGCAGGCTGGGTCCCAGCTCAGGTCGGAGCCCTTTACCTCTCATGCCCCCCATGCCTGTTCTCTACCCCTAGAAAGGGGCAGGGAGATTGGGTCCTCCCCCAGGGGCTGTGACCTCGGGCAGTCTCTGCAGCTTCAGCGGATCCCTGGCTTCCTCCTCGGTGGAGGATGCCTAGGACCCCATCCTCAGGCTCACGGGGGCAGAGCCAGGGCTGGGTTCCCTCACCTTGTCTGCCTGGCACAGGTCCCGGATCATTTCCTCGATGAAGAACTTGGATTTGCCGTAGGGGTTGGTACAGCCACCTGTGGGGTGGGCCTCGTCCAGTGGCAGGTACTGGGGGTTCCCATACACAGTAGCTGAGCTGCTGAATACCAGGTTCTTCACCCCGTGGGCTCTCATGATCTGGCCGTTGGTGGGGGGGAGATGTCAGTGGCCTCTGCCTCATGTGTTAGTCCCAGCCCCTTACTCCTTCACAGGTGGGTGGGGCTGGGGTACGGGCACTCCCATTTACAGATGGGGAGACTGAGGCTGGGAGGTAAAGAGAAACGTGTCCAAGATGATACAGCTTTGGGCCCGGCCTGACTCTGCCCCCCTCACCACTGCGTTCGGCACTGCCCACCTGGCGACAGGCCCTCCCAGTGTCTGTGTCCTCGCCCCACATCTCACCTCCAGAAGCTGGATGGTTCCTGTCAGGTTAACTCTGTAATAATCCAGAGGCTTCTGCACTGACTCGCCCACTGCCTTGAGCCCCGCAAAGTGGATGACGGCCATAAAGCTGTGCTGCAGGGACAAAGCCAGGGTAAAACGCTGCTTCACAGGCCCCGGCCCTTGGCAGTGCCCTCTGCCTGCCTCCCAAGCCCCCCACCTTCTTGAAGAGACGTTCCAGGGCTGCCTGGTCCAAGATGTCCATCTCCTCAAACTCCAAAGAGCGGCCTGTCAGCTCCTGAACCCGCTGCAGGCTCTCAGGCATGGAGCCCCCTCCTGGTTGGGCACACGGAGGCCATCAAAATCAGAGGAGATGAGGTCCTGGAGACTACCCAGATACACACCCCTTGGAGGTGGAACCCCGGGCTTTCCTTCTGTCTCCTCCAGAAGCCCCAGCCCCACATCCCGACACTCACCACGGATGGCATTATGGAAGTTGTCGATGACCACAGGCGAATAGCCTGCCTCCAGCAGCTCCAACACCGTGTGGCTGCCGATGTAGCCAGCCCCACCCGTTACCAGCACCTTCTCTGCCATCGCACCTGGCCCAGGACACAGAGTCTCAGAGGTGGCCTGCACTGGCCACTCAGCGCCTCCTTCCAACTGAAATCTGGCCTTGGAGGGAAGCAGTCGTGTGTCCCAGTTTATAGGGTGGTTCTGGAATCAGCCCTGGTCCAAGTTTGGATGCCATTACCTTCTGGCCTTAGAGATCCCTTATCTTCTCTTTGCCTCAGTTTCCATCTCTATAACATGGAGCTTATAATTGTACAAATGCCGTGTGATAGTGTAAAAGTTAAAGGAGGTGATTTTAGAGGCCTGACTCATGGTACAGGTGGGGAGACCCACACAGGTGCCATATTTTCTAGACTCAACTGATCCTGGGTTGGGCAGATGGAATCTACAGCTCCACACGTCTTCCCCAAGGTGTCTGGGAACGGAACAGTTCTGGGCAGAAGCAAATATGGCAGCAGCACTGGAACTCCAAGAGACCAGGAAGGGATTCTCTCTGCTCAGACTCAGGCCTTCCTAGTCTTTGTGCCATCACTAGATGTAAACTGGCTCCGGGGCTCCAGCTGCACACAGCCCCCCTGACTTACTCCCTCAAGGGTCAGATGGCAGGAAGCAGGAAACATACCAGCCAACCTCAGGGTGGGGTCCTTTGCCAGGCAGGCTGAGCCCAGCTCTGGGGCTGCAGCAGTGCTGTCCTGGCGCTGGCCCCACCCCACCCCACCCCAGGTCAGCCAGGCTGGCTAAGCCTCTAACCCTGCCCGGGCCAGCCGGAGCCCTCGCAGTGTGGAGCTAAGGATCCCGCCCAACTCTAGGCAGCACTGAGCTGGCCGGTGTAGACGTGGCCTTGGCGCCTACTCCGCAGCCAGGTGTGCACCCCGCCTTGAACAAACTCCGTGGGCAGAGGGGGTGGAGGGGATAGAAAGCCCCAGACACTGAGGTCTTTCATTCGCGGCGGCCCTGCTCGAAGCCGGCTTCCTCCAGGCTGCCTCAATTGCCTCCAGGGCTCTTCCAGCTCCAACGAATTTGGCGAAGCGCCCTCGGTGTACCGGGGACTTTTGCATTATTTTCCTGAATTCTCCTAGTATCCCGATGAGGCAGGTATTATCACTGGCACTTTACAGACAGGGATACTAATGTCAGACAAGTGATTTGCCTGAGGTCACACAGCTCGTGATAGCTGGACTAGAATCAGGATTTCCAGGCTCCCAAGCCAGTCCCTAACCCAAGCAGTTTGCCCTCCCCCCTAGCTGCTTCCGCTGGACTCTGCTCCGGATGCCGAAGCCTCCCCTACCCCCATCCCACCGAGGTCCATGCACTGTGTGAATCCCCAGAAAGTGGTCGCGGAGGGTGCCCTGGAAGGCGTGAAGGCTGGTGAAGCGAACCCTCCTCGAGCCGACAGGGCGACCCAGGTCAGGTGTCGCCTCCTCGCTTTTCCCAGTCTACATAATGGGTTGGAGAAGGCGCTAGATCTCGGGCAGGGATTTGGACCAAGGCTGGGAGGGGGCCGTGCAAGGCATCCCCAGGCTGGGAATGAATGACCCCAGGCTGTCCCAGCGGTGGCAGCTAAAATGGTCCGCTGTGACAATAATCTGCCGAAAACGCAGCCCATCCCCTAACACTCCCCCTCGCTCCCCGCAGACCACCTAGCCCCCCGCGAGCCTCTGCGTCCCATCCGGCCCCGCTTTCCCTTCCCAAACCTGCTCAGGACTGCGCCTCCCGCGCTGCCTCCAGCGTTGCCGCCTCCGGCGCCTCGGTCCCTTTAAGAGCTGACGGCCCAAATGGTCCCGCCCCCTCACACCCTCAGGGAACGTGTCACTCGCGTAGACGGGTAGACTGCACTACGGGGCGCCGGGAGGACAAAAGGAGCTGGAGATCGCAGGCGCCTGCGCAGCGCGCCTCTACAAAGGCCAGCAGTGGGCAGCAAGGTCCAGTGCCGAGGTGGTCCGCGGAGGGAATGAGCGGCAAGACCCGGGTCGCCGAGGGCTGTTCCCGTGGAGGGTGCCCTGGATTTCCGCGCCGTGCTCAAGCGCTCGTCCCGGCCCCTGGACGCAGGCGGAGGGCAGCATGCTGGGAGACAGGGCTCCGAGCTCACCCGCAGCTTTTCCAACCTTTTTTTTGTATCTGCTAAACCCTTTCTGGAGGATGAGCCTTGCATGAATACACTCCTGCATGGAACGGAGGCAGTAAAGGGGCGGCACGGATCAAGGAAATGGTGCGCGTCCCCTTGAAGCGGCAGGTGCTGGGAGGTCCATCTAGGCCATCGAAGATCTGGAGGGAACTCTGAAGCTCAAGTAGGAATTACATGCTGATTGTGCTCCGCGGCCCCGCACTGCTGGGAGTGGTTTGTCTGCACCCTGCCTACCATACTGGGTTAGAAAATGGTCATGTTTCTATTTAAAATAAAGGTATGGCTAGGGAATGATGTGTATAAAGGCATGACACACTGTGATGACACCAGAGCGAAGAAATAAACGTGCGTTTCCCAAAACGTAGAATGCTCAAGGATGACTGAGGGGCCACAAGAGTCTGACATACAAAGAGCTAAGGCACCCACACCTGCGCTAGCCCAGACCCAGAGGAGCAGATGGCCGCCGCTGCCTGCGAGGGAGCCTGGGTGACAGCGCCGGACAGAGCCTAGAGCCTCAGAAAGTCTTTCCAGGGTCTTCTGGCCAGCCCTGAGTAAGTCCAAAGCCAGCCATTTCCAGTCATTGTAAATTTGGGGGTCAGGTGGGGATATGGAGAAAATCCACAGATTAAGTCTGCCTTATACCTCTCAAGAGTACAAATGAAGATGTTCCCCCCCCCCATATATACACACATCTGTAGGATACTGGAATGGTTCTGCATCATTAAACCTTTAATTATAAGGCTGTTTTAAAAAATCGTGTTCAGAGTGATTTTCCAGAGATGCTAGAGTTGGCAGGTGGCCAATGCAGAACTCAGCCTTCACCCGTTCAGCAAATGCCCTCTGCTTGCTTGGGGAAAAACCCCTCCGTGCCTTTTGCCCTCTGAAGTCACAGAGCAATTGCAACAAGGCCATGGCAGGGGTGAGCTGTGTAGCCACCTGTCAGAATTCACCCAGAGGCAAGACCTGAGGATCAACCCAAGCCAAGGAATTGGGTTCCCAAGTGGCCCCTGGGATTCAACTCCTGGGCTGCTGGGTCCATGGTGAAGGGAGGCCCCACCCCAAAGCCTCTCAGTCCTACTCAGATCTGGGAGGGAGGGTCTGAGGCCAAGCAGCTCGTGTCCGTCGCCTCCTTTCTACCAGGAGGGACCTGTGTGCAGGGCTGGCAGCGAGGTGCCTGTTCCTGTCCATCTCATTCCCATTTTCTTGAGCCTATCAGTGAATCATCCAGATGTGCCCCTATTCCCACACAGTCCCCAGAGCTTCAGGTGGGCAAGGGGCTCACAGTCTACAGGTAGCCTGAGCCACTTTAGAACTGGTTTTTCTGTTAAGGGCTTGACAGATAAAGGTCCCAGCTTCCAGGAGCTTCTGGAGGTTCACACCCTTTGAGAAACAAGGAAGATAAAGTAAGTTACGACATGCATTCAACACCCAGGAAACATCAGACTGGACAGACAACTGTGATACTGGGAAAGATGAAGACAACAGGCTCTTGTTCCTGTACGATGGGACACCACCTAGCTGTCTTTGAGGTTGTGTCCTTCTGGCACCTGGGTCCCCCTCTGACTCCCCTGATACAGGATGCCTCAATCTGCATAATGGTTAGTAGCGCCACCTCCAGAAAAAGGATCTCATCAGTCTTGTTCAGCTCTCCATCTCCAGGGCTTAACACAGGGCCTGGCCCGTAGGAGTCAGAAACAGTACATTGAAGGAATGAACTGTGAGGCAGAGCAAAAACAGCAACTGAAAGGGCCACTCTGGAAAACCACTGTTCGTAACAGCTCCTATTTACTGATCTGTACTATGTGCTCAGCTCTGGGCTAAGCATTCTACATTTTCTTAGTTCATCCTCATAAGGGCCCTAAAGATAGGTACTATTATTATTCCCATTTCTTAGGCCCTGAGAGGTGAAGTAATTTGTCAGGTCACACAGCCTGTGAGTGGCAGAACGAGGTTTTAAACCCAGGTCCTTCTGAGCCTAAGCACAGACTCTATGCTTCCAACCCACTCTGAGCGCCCTGGGGGGCCATCTCATTCTACTGCTCCCATCTGACGGAGAAAGGAAGTCTAGGGAGAACTGGTTCACATCAGGTTATGCAATCTGACCCCTTTTGGGGCGTTTTCCTTACATCCTGGTGTCTCTCTAAACTAAAGTGACAAACCTGCAAACAGAGCTTGGCCTTCTTGTGGCCTCTGTCACCCACACTCCGCTATCTCAAAAACAAAATAGTCCCCAAGCATCCTTCCCCTATTAACTGCTCCCCTTCCCCCCAAAATAACAATAACGCTAAACAAGCCCAGCTTCTGTCCTCTGGCTTCAGGCAAAGCTCTGGTTAGTTTACAGCCGTCAATACGGGAGACAGACAGGCTTACCGTGTGAATGCCCAAGCCTGCCAGCATGTAGACCAGGTCCTCGGTGGCCAAGTTTCCAGACGCCCCCTGTGCATAGGGACAGCCTCCGAGTCCTGACACAGAGGAGTCCACAACACTCACTCCCATCTGGAAACACAGGGCGGTGAAACGTGGCTGTTACTGTGGGGGCCAGAGCCTACAAAGCGGGTCCTTAGAAACCTCCCAGTTGTCTGCTGCCTGAAAGTCCATTGCAAGTTACTCATTCCTTGGGTTTACGATACTGTTAAAGTGAAAATCCCCGAGAGTTTCTCTCTTCAGCTCCTGGAGTGGCAAGAATCTTCTCAGCGGATGCTGATTCCTCTGCCAGGAATGTCCTCCCTCAGGTGCTTCCGTGGTTTCAAGGTTCCTTCTCACCCTTAAGGTCTCAGCCTAAAAGCTACCTCCTCAGAGACAGAGGCCCTTCCTGATCACTGACCTAAAGTAATCGCCTCCCACTGGTGAGATTTCAGATCCCTGTTGTTTACTGTTGTTCCCTTACGCACACCATCCCCCTCTCCCACAGGCTGCTCCCTAACCCCAGGGGCCTAGCCATTTCCAAAGGTCAGTCACTTCCTACTCTCCTGCATGGCTGTTTGACTTTTTCCTCTTTCCTTAGACCTCTAACAGACCTCACCCTTGACAACCGCAACTCTGAGAAAATAGACCCAGAAAATAACAGAATCACCTGAAACATAAGCCTCCAGGAGATAACATTGAGAGGGGGAAGAAAATGGCCCAAGGTTGCTCTATAACCTGAAGACAACAGGTTCGAATCAGACTAATGCTACAGCAAGGCAGCTGTGGAGAGCCACTGAGAGCTTCCCTTCTTCTGGGCAGTCAGCCCACAAGCAGCAAACCTCAAGGGGAACCCAATCTCAGGCCTCAGTCCTGTCTTTGGGAGGCAGCATCACAGGCTCTCCCTCTGAGCGACCTCGGCCTACTCCCCACCGCCCGATCCTGGCCTGCCGCCCCTGCACAGAGGCGCGCTCGCGCACCCACTCCCCGCACGCTCCCCCGGGGCCCCGCCCGAGAGCCCACCAGACCCCTGCCTGCCTCGGCCTCCCAATGCAGGCCGCCGGGCCACCTTTCTGCTTCACCTGCTCAACTGCTGAACTTCTCCACGTCCTTCAAGCCTCACTCAGGCCTCTTCTGGCAAAACCTCTCTAGCCTCCCAGCCGGGACAGGGACCTTCCTCAGCCCCGTGCTTCCTCCCCTCGTGGCTTCTGTCACAATGCATGAGGACTGTCACCCAACTCCTTCATTGTTGTCCCTACCACACAGATGTACGAACTTCTGGGGCAGGGTCACGTGTCTGTGTCCATCATGGGAATGGACACATGCCTTTCCCCAAGGACACGCCCAGGTTACCTGCAGGGCCATCAAGGTGTTGGCCAGAGCCTGGCCGTAGGTGTCGTGACAGTGGACAGCCAGGGCAGCCACCGGCACCTCGTGCATGACAGCAGAGAGCATCTCCTTCATGACCCTGGGGGTGCCCACGCCGATGGTGTCCCCCAGGGAGATCTCGTAACAGCCCATCGCGTACATCTTCTTACTGACCTGGGAAACAAGCAGGCACTTGGAGGACACAGGTTCCCCAAGCCAAGGGACAGGGATCCTTGGCCTGTGCAGAACACCTCCGTGACGGAGCACCAAATGGATCACATCGCTGGCTCCTCACAACCCTGAGTGGAGTCACAGTCCCCATCAGGAGACGAGGATGTGAGGGAGCTGCCATAGGGCAGAGCCTGGGGCTCCAACCCTGGGCTTCCCTCCCACCCCGTGTGTCTCAAATTCCACTCCTTCCCTCACCACCTCCACACACTGTGTCAGACCCAGGTACTACAATCAGTAAAACTGACCTTTTCCTTGTAGCTTTATCCTCAATCTGTGAAACCATGGGTCTGAAGTGCTAGCTTTATATTTTTAATAGAAGTACATACTATTTAAACTTTTAGAAGCCCATTGTGGCAGACCTCTAAAATCACTGCAAACCCAGAGCAGCGTGCATTCCACCCAAGGCGATGCTCCCCTACGCTGCTGCTGAGGAAGGACGAGGCAGGCCGCCAGGGAGCTAGATGACACTCGACAGTGGTCTGCCGACAAAGGAAGTGGTGAGAGCGGGGACAGGCACCCAGCAGCTTGCGGGGGTGGGGGCGCAGCTGGAGGAGCAGCTTCGGAGTGACTCGGTGCAGGATTAAAATCCCAGTCCTGCTGCTCACGACCTGTGGGACCTTCGCAAGGGACTTAACTTTTCGGAGCTTCCCTTCCTGCTTCTAAACAACAGTGACAAGCCTGTGACGGGCTATGGTGGCAACAGGAGACGGACCTGGAGCACAGCAGTCACTTTCAATTGGCAGATGCACCTGTTACCATTCCTCGTTTTTCGATACTACGTGGTGTGGCGGGAAGAACGAGCGGACTTTGGAGGTAAACAAGATGTGGGTTTAGACCTGGCTGCACCATTGGCAACTGGCATGGCAAGTCAGTTTCAGTTTCCTCAACTGGAAAATGGGATAACAACAATACTGAATTTGCAGGGTGGTTTTGAGGACTAAATGCCACGAGCTCTTGCACTGGTGAAACTCAGTTCCCCCTCTGTGCTCCTCTCAGACCTGGTTGCTACTCAGAGGGTGTCACGCGGCCTCTCTGACCACAATAAGAGACCACAGGAACCCGTGGGTGGGGAGCCTCTCCGCAAAGGATTATCACCTCAATTACCATCTGTCCACTGACCAGACTGGAAACTCAAGGGGAGGCATTCATTCTGGGATGGAGGGCAGGGGTGTGAACGAAGGAAATCAGTGACCCCCGGAAAAGGGTGGCGAGAGAACCTCTGCACGCAGGGGCAGGCAAGGCGGCCAGCCCTCACAGAACCCCCGCCCTGACACACACACACCTCAGCTACTTTGGCCGGGGAGATCTTCCCTTCATAGGGGCATCCAAGCACACACGAGACGTACCTGTGGGAAGACAGGGGGAGGAACGGGGTCAATGCCCCTGAGTTTTGGCCAGCATGGCTGAGATGGGTAGGCCAAGTAACTGAGTGAAAGGCTAATTCAACGACACGCAGCCAGAATGAGGGTAGTGCCACGTAGTGCCAGGAGGGGGCAGTGGAGAGCCACGGCAAGGAAGGGGACTGATAGGCCTGTAGTTCTGGAAACAGGAGTTAGACAGCTCTCTGGAGAGGCAGCCGGAGACCAGCCAGAGACCAGCCGGAGACCAGCCAGAGACCAGCCAGAGGGAAGGAGCTGGAGAGCATAATATGAGCAGGCACCTGAGCCGTACAGAGGTGAGATAAAGCAGAACATGGGCCAAGGTAGCTGGGGCCCACACTTAAAGGAGGGGACTGGGACCCATGAAACCAAAGGCAGGAATAAGAGCTGGGCTGGCCTGTGCCGGTGAGCTGTTAGATGACTTATTCACCCATTTACTCAACTGATATATACTGAGTTGCCTACTATGGGCCAGGCACTAGGGAGCTCCGTGAGCAAGACTGACATGTTTCCCACTCTCATGGTGCTTATTTCTAATTAGGGAGGTAGCTGATTAAAGGGCAATCGAATAAATCAACGAGATAATCTCAGAAAGTAATGTGCTGTGGAGAAAAGGACAGGGAATGCGACACGACAACCAGAGGAGGCCAGGAGTAGCTGGGGTGGCCTGAGAAGAGCTTTGGAAAGACATGATGACGCTGCAGCTGAGAGAAGGGGGACAGCCACAGGAAGAGCATGCAGGCAGAGAGGAGCCAGTGCACAGGCCCTGAGCGGGAAGGGCAGGTGTGTTCAAGACAGAGAACAAAGGCCGGAACAGCTGAGGCACGGAGAGCAAGGGGCAAAGAAGTACGACCCGCGGCCGGAGAGGGGGCACGGGCCTTGTCACAGGTCCTGCGAGCTATGGTAAGGAGTGCGGACCTTGGATGTAGGCGGCTCCTATTCCCACCCACACCATAGGGCCCAGGCTCCAAAAAACCTTTTCAGAGTCTAGCGAAGTATTCTGCATATTAAGAGACGTAACAAATGCCTGCTGGTTAAATAACTTCAGCCTCAAAGATCTCAGTCTATTTTTCCATTTTAAGTCTCCCTCTTATTTTCCAATTGTTGTTGAACAAGAAAAAGTTAGGAGACTAGGCCTGGGAGTCAGGCAGACCTGCTAAGGCCCTGTTTCCCTGCCCATCCGCCCACCTATCTGCCCATCGGATCCCGAGCACCTGTGTGCTGGGCCTTGCGCTGACAGAGAGGTGCACCCGGAACTGAGAGAGGCGTGGGCTTGGTCTAGTAGCGGTGGGAGGCTGGGGACAATTTAACAAGCAGCTAAGTGCTAAGTTACAGGATGTGTAATGCACTAAAGGAGCCCAGAGGAGGGGTGTTAACTCCAGCTGAGGGACAGAGAAAGCTTTTTAGAGAAACTGGCATCCGTGAGGGGACCTAAAGGATGAGCAGGAGTTCGTCCTGGTGAGTAGGATGTAGGAGGAAGGGTTCTGAGCCTATGGAAAGCGTGCGCAGAGGCCAAGAGGCAAGAGAGAGTGGGACCATGTGACAAATGGAAAGAAGTCCCAGTGGGGCTGGAAGGAAGCCGCGACCCGTGAAGCTGCACGGAGAGCAGGGCCTGAATCACGCAGGGCCTTGTAAACCGTGGGGGAGTCTGGAGTGGGGAAGTCACGGCAAGGCTTTTAACCAGGAAGTGATGTGGTCAGATGTGCTCTTCTGAAAGCCCTCTGGCTGCAGTGTGGACAGCTGGGCGACCTTACAGCGGACTCTCCACCCTCCTGAGCCTCAGTTTTGTCCTCTGTGTATGGGGCTGGTACTCTTCTTGCTGGACACACGATGATTCCTGGCACTATTGCTATTAACAATGTGGTTGGTCTTGGAGACTTAAGAGGCCCAGGGGATTCTTCCGGGACATGTGAAGAGCTGGTGGCGGAGCCAAGATTAAAGTGATTGCCACAGACCCTGTCTAATATCCTGTCCTGCTAGATTTCCTCTGGTGAACCGACCCGCAAGTCAGGTTTGGAGAAAGCACTTGCTTGGATTTCTTCTGACCATATTTACTGGGGAAAAGATGTCGAGGTCTGGATCTTAGACTGCCTGCCCCCGGGATAAGGAGTATGTGGGGGAGGGTGACTGGGTTGGAGTGAGGTACTGGTCCAGAATGGTTCCGAGGAAAAGACAGGCGGCACTGATGTGGTCTGACTCACCCCCGCACAGGGATACCGTCTGCGCGAGCTGCCTTCAAGACTTCGTCAAACCGTTGCAGGCTTTCATCTATGGAGCAGTTGATGTTCTTCTTGGTGAAGAGCTCGGAGGCAGCTCCAAAGATGCTCACCTCCTTGGCTCCAGCAGCAACCTGCCAATAGCCAGAGGGGCTCCTGTTACCCTTTTGCTCCTCGAGGAATATCAGGAAGGCAAAAACCCTGGCCTCACAGAGACCTTTATGGCCTGTGAATGCTATGGGTTGAACTGTGTCCTCCCCCAGAAAAAGGTATATTGCAATCCTAACCCCCAGTACCTTGAGATGTGTTCTTATTTGGAAACAGGGTCACTGTAGATATAATTTATTAAGATGAGGCCATACTGGTTTCTCTCTCATATGACTTGTGCCCTTAAAAGCCAGTGGCCACGTGATGAGAGAGACAAGGAGGGGCAGGCCAGGGAAGATGGAAGCAGAGACTACGAGCCAAGGAATGTCAACGACTGCTGGCTTCCACCAGGAGCTGGGGCAGAACCCTGGAACAGATCCCTCCCTGGAACACGCAGAGGGGCCAGCCCTGCTGACACCCTGATTCCGGGCTCCTGGCCTCCGGACTGCGAGAGGGTGCATTTCTGTTGTCTTTGGTACTATGTTACGTCAGCCCCAGAAAATTAACACAGTGAATTATATCTCATTGGCCTTAGCCTTCCCCTAGAGACCAATATTGCCACTGCCATCGCCCTGGAAGTTGGTCACTCTTTTTTTATTTTTTATAGAATTTATTTATTTTTAGAGAGAGGGGAAGGGAGGGAGAAAAAGAGGGAGAGAAACTTCAATGTGTGAAAGGTACATCAATCGGTTGCCTCTCACACACCCCCAACTGGGGACCTGGCCCGCAACCCAGACACGTGCCCTGACTGGGAACTGAACAGGCGACCTTCCAGTTCACGATCTAGCACTCGTCCACTGAGTCACACCAGCCAGAGAGTCAGTCACTCTAAGAGAAACCTTTGGCCTAAATTAGAATCAGTATCCTCAATGATGTTCTTATTTAAATTTGTAAGAAAGTTGGCAGATACTAGCAACTACTGTTGAAATTCTTGAGGAGAACTTGCTTATCTTTCTTTATAGAGGAAATGGGTAAGAACAACAAAAGCTACCACTTATTATGCACTTATCTTCTAAGCAATTTCTGTGCATTTTATCTTCTGAAATGCTTACTCTATCACCACCCTATTACAGAGGCAGGACCGGAGGCCTGTCGAGATCAGAGAGCTGGGGGCGGCAGGGCCAGCACTGCCCAGCTCTGTCCCTGCTGTCTGCCTGATGGTGCTCATTACCGCTGGAGACGGCCCTTCAGAGACATCCCGGGACAGGGACTGAGGCCCAGAGACCGAGGCCCAGGGATAGGGCAGGGACCAGTGCCATCAATCTCATCGCAGGGCCCCCCACCAACAAGCTTACCGCTGCCTGGTAGCCTTTGAAATTTGGGGTCAGGACTGGGTAGTTGACGCCAGGAAACTTCTGGATGCCCTTCAAGACTTCGGTGTGGTCAGCCATCTGGGAAACCGAAGGGGACATTGCCGAGGCATGAGCAAGGGCGAGCAGAGAGCTCAGGTAGAGAAAACCTTTTAATCACAAGATCTCTGTTTTCTAGCACACTTGAGAATGAGCTCTTCTGCAGAGCCAACTCCCCAACGCTTTGACTCTTTGTTTGACAACTGACAGGCCAGAAGGCCCCTGGGTGTGGGCCACAGCCCCAATTTCTCCATGTGCATAATACTGTCAGCTTTACATAGCAGTAACGATACTACCAGCCATTTACACTGGCACTGGGCTCGGCTCTGTGTTGTCTAACACTCAGCTGGGGGACCTTGCTAAGGCCAAGCAATTCAGGGGCAGAGCCCAGAGTGAATCTAAGCCTCCCGCCTGCCAGGTTACTCCCCGCATCCCCCGCCCCTGCATCATGCTGCTATGAATCACCTGAGACCTCTGCAAGTCAGAGACCCACAAACCTATGCTCCCGCCTTCTACTCACTTCCAGGACGAACGCAAACCCTTCCATCCCTCTCTTCTGAAAAACCCCTCTCGCTCACGGCTGGGGCTCACCTGAGGGACCCACTTGGGAGACACGAAGCTGGTGGCTTCTATCACGGGGAGGCCCGCTTCCGAAAGCATGTCTATCATCCTGATTTTTACTGGGGTAGGTACAATATTCTGTCATGGAGAGAGAAACACCAGAAAAGACAGGGCAGCAAAGTTGGGAAACGAATGGCCTCAGAAAGCAGTGCCTGTTACTTCAAAGCTTTTGCTCCAGCAAACACTTCAGTATCTCAATTTCCAAACACTAACATGAATTCATGTGCAATCCTCGCCCACAGACAGGGTACAAGGTGTCTTCAAGTTCTACAGATAATGTTGTGCAGTGGAGGCAGCTTATCACCTGAAAAGGAGTTAATACTTACATGGAAACAATATTTTTCTGCCACATAGGCTTTTACTTAACTAAATGTTTAACTTATGGCCCAGTCATAAGCAAATTGAGAGCCATGCAGCATGGCCTGAAAGGGCAGAGATGACTAACCCTCTGGGTCTTATGAGGTAGGGTCCCCAAAGTACTGCACCCTCCTTTTCCATCTCCCAAGCAGCACAGGATCTCATCCTCACCTGTTCAGCCTAGTGTTTCTCTCCCTCCCCTAGCACATCTAGTTGCTAAGCAGACTCTACGGATTTCTCCTTCCAAATCTAGTATCATTGCTGCATGTGTATTATGGCATGGTCTCACTCCACCAGTTCCTCCCCCAGGAATCCTCCTAAAACAGTTTATACTACCTCACTCTACTGCTCAAAAGCCTTCCATGGCTCCCGAGTACCTACAGGATCAGGTAAAAAATCCTAAGAACTTCAAGCCCTTCCATATCCCCCCTCCCCACGATTTCCCTTGCACTGCTTTAATGTAATTGATTATATTACATGAATCCTTTCTGAGAGCCCTCCATGTTCCAGGGATTGTGCTGGTGCTAGGGGGCACCGCAGCGGGCAGGGCAGACATGATCCTGCCCTCATGGGGCTTACAGTTTATTGCTCTTAGCAAGTGCTCAATATTAAAATTAGGCTTGTCATGCTTTCTTAGGCCTCCCTAATGAAAAAATAATACATGATTATTTTGAAACACATGCCAAAGCCAGAAATAAACCACCCTTAAGACCTCCCAGATATGTAACCTTACAGGTCTGTGTAGTCCAATATGTTAGATACTAGCCATATATGATTCTATAAGTTTTAGTCAAAATTACATGAAAATAATTCAATTCCTCAGCCACACTTCAAGTGCCCAATGTGTGCGTCTAGTGGCTAGCTCATGGGACAGCTCAAGTCTAGAATAGTTCTATCTTCATATGAAGTTCTACTGGACAGCACTATTCCAATTTCTTCTACTACCCGTGGGTTGTAAGAACATCCGCAAGGCCAAAGCGCTGCATACGGCCTTCGTGGCTTCCTTTAGATAAACCCCCTTCCATGGAACGGCTGGATCTAAAGGCAGGCCCTCAATGTCGCGCTACAGTCCCGCAGCCCTCCCCAGCCACCGCACGGCCTTGAAATGCATGTGGGGATACCACCCCCGCTGCACCACCAACTTAGATTGCCTAACCCGCCTGGTCTCCCTGACCCTGCCCTGCGTCTGGCACAGTGATCATGTCTTGCATAACTCTGTCCATCCATCCCTGCTGCACCTCCCACGTGGAACTCTCAGGGCTCAAAAAAACTATTTGGGTTGATTTTCAGCTTTACCTTTTCATTTTGTAGTCCGTCTCGGGGACCAACTTCCACAATTTTCACCTGCTTTGGCAAAGTACTCAAGGATGAGGTGCTGACCTTTGATTTAAAAGAGAAAACAAAAAGTAACAGGGACAGGTCGTCCCAGTTCCCCAGAGGGTGCACACACGCTCGCACACAGAGGAGGAGGAGGACGTAATGAGACCATGGAGGCAGAGAACGAAGTGAGGGTGCCCCAGTCACGGAAACAGCGACAGTGCTGAGAAGCTGCAAGAGACAAGAAATGGGTTCTCCTCTAAAACCTTGACTTCAGCCCAGTGAAAATGACTCTGGACTTCTGACCTCCAGAATTGTGGGAAAGAAAATGAATGTTGTTTTAAGCCACCAAGTTTGTGAGAATTCGCTATAGCAGGCGTAGGAAACTAATCCAGTGTCCCAGCTGGGAAAGGTTACGTGACTTACAAGAAAATGTTCTTTTCTATGTCCCCCCCAGCCCAGCACCACCTATATTTTTGGATGGGTTAACAATAACATTCTTCACAAAGGCACTTTCAACCACTCCACCCCTCCCTGTCTTGACAGTTTGGAAGGAATTAAAACACTTTGCTTTCCCCGCAGTGACTAATGGGGCTTGCTGTGTTATTACAGTGATGTTTTACCGTACTTTTTTGGGATGAATTATAGAACTCATTATTGTAATAATAGAACAGAATTAAACATCTTATACTCCTCTTTTATCCCTTTCTCTGTATGTGACTAACTAGATATTGCATAATGAAATCAAATAAACTCCATGGAGTGTGGGGAAAAAAAAAATTGCCCAAGAGAGCAAATCTGAAGAAATGGATCCATCCTCACTACTACTGAGACCAGAAGCAGTATTTATCACCACTTAATTCACATTTGGCCCTGGCCCTGTAGCTGGTTAGAGCGTTGTCCTGTTGGGTCAGGACACATACAAGAATCAGCCAATACATAAATAAGTAGAACAACAAATCGATGTTTCTCCCCCTCCCTCTTTCTAAAAATCTATCATTCAACAAATCATCATCATCATCACCTTTGGTCTGATTTAGATTTAAGAGCAGAAAGAATATTTCCCTTACAAACAGGAATAAACAAGACATTCCTGTTCCCAGTACAGGCCCATTTCCAACTGCGTTAACAGTTGAGCATTTAGGCAAAGGGAGTGGAGTGACTTTGCTTTTCCCACTAGGAATTAGAGGGGTATTCGTGATTTTTCACTAGCCTTGGAGAAGTCTTAAGCTCAACTAGAGGGAGAAAGGTGCCAAGGTCACCAGAAAGAGCGTCGAACAAGGAATTAGGACACCTGGGATGTCGTCCCCGGTCTCCAAGACCCAGGCAAGTCGCTCCCCCTCCCGGCGCCTCGGTTTTCCCTATATCCCTTAAGGGATCTGGGGTACATACTAAGACTTCAAGGTCCACCTGACTCGGGACTTAACAGCTGCCTGGCTTCACCTCTCAGGAGCCGCACGAGTCAAGCCCCCGACCCCGAGCGTCACGGTGCCGGCAAGGCCGCCCCTCGGCGGCCGTGGCACTTACAGCCCTGACGGACGACAAGCCCACCAGTCTCTGCCGCAGCACCCCCCTCACTGTCGCCATCTTGGTCCAGCTGAGCCGGCGAACGTCCCACTAAGCCCCACGTGACCATCCACCTCCTGGGGGGACGCCCGTCTTTAGGGCGGGCCTCTCCGGCGACGTGGTGACGCCCTACGCTGGCTCCGCCCCCAGCCGCTCCGATTTTTATTCTATCTGTCCATTTCTTCTTTACAAGTTACTGGGCATTTATGAGCCCCGTTTCGTCGTTGCCAGGAAAAGTGAGACGCTTGGACTATAAAAACGATCAAAAATTAACCAAAGTTTCTGTCTTCATAGGTTTAGAGTCAGGGAGGTTTGGGAAGACAGATATTAATAATGTTGATGGAAGAATGGCCCACCTGCAGAAAAATCTTATAGAAGTTTGTTTGAACCAAATGTTGAGAACCTGCCGGGGAAGCAGAATCTCAGTGGAGTAAATGCTCTAGAGAATGGCAGTTATGCAGCTTGTTTTACACATTACAATCAAAGGAGAAGCTGTAAGGAGGGTTACGTGAAATCTATCGGTGGTAGATTAAGGAGGCAGGAGAAAGAACAGGAGGAACTGTCTAGGACTGGATAAAAAGAAAAATGGAGATACTTCCTTTACATTGATGGTTACAGGATAGTTAATAATATGTACAGTTAACAGCGACGGTATACAGACAAAAACAATGGGGGATTCTGTGGTCTCGTTCTGTAGTGCCAGAAGTTGTGCCTTGGAAGGGGTCTGGAAAAGAAAATTACTCTGACAATTCAAAGGTATGTCATCTTAGATACACAAGGACAACATACAGGCTCACTTAACATACAGACTGACCTTTGTCAAGGAAGCTACTGGCCTATGGCACACTCACCACCATAATTTGCTTTCGTTAGGAATTTTTAAGTTCAGACCGTCCTGAATGGTTACTTTTGGTCACCAGTTTGTAAGGCCTGCCATGCATCCGCTTCTTCCCCAAGCTTGTCGGGTTTAGTATGTGGTCCTCTTTTCATTCACAACAATCACAAAAAGTTGTATAATTACTACCTTTCACAATAATAAGATGAAACATTACTATTCGCCACACAGTTTTGAGTTCTTTGTGCATATTAACTTACTTATCACCATCTTCAGGATTCAAATGCAGGCAGTTCATTCCAGAGAGTGAAGTATCCTTAGATTTCACACCTTTAAGAATGAGTAAGATCTATCCAGGTAAAGAGGATACGAGAAAAGCTTTTTAGACAGAGAGCATAGCACATATAGAGACCCTGAGGCAAGGAAATTCAATGCTTAGGGCAGTGTTTTTCAAAATACATGTTGTGGTCATAATATTAACTTAGTGGATATAAACTTTAATAAAAAAAATGGAATAGAAACTATCAGAGTGCACTGTATAAAGTACTAAGTACTGTTTTGCAAAACTTTTGTTTTATATATATCTGTATAGTGTCAACCAGGTCATGATGTAAAATAAATTTCTTACTGTAGACAGTAATTAGAAATGTTTGTAAAACATTGTTTTGGAAATTTGAAACAAAGATCAGAATGCTTAGAGAGCAGGGAGGGAGTAGGAAGGGGCCCTCCTACTAAGAGGGGAGAGATTGGCAGTGACCATACCATAGGGCTTTGGAAATACAGTGATAAAAGTTATCTTAATAATAATGCATTTGAAGGGTTTTAAGCAGCTGCCTTCTTGGATCATTGATTTAGAAATGTTTAAAAATTTCCAAACATATGGATTTTTTCAAGTCTTTACGATATTTTAATTCTGTTGCAGACATACTATATAGCCTGTGTGATACTGCTTCTGTGGTATTTACATTTGTAAATGTCCCATATGTGCCTGAGAAAAATATTCCTTGAGTGTTGGGTAGAGATTTCTATATCTATCTATTAAATAAAAGTCATAGAAGATTTGATTAGATCTATCACAATTTAAGAGGCTGGACTAGTAGTCAACTCAAAAGAACGGTACTAGATTGGGTAGGAGACTGGCTATGTGACAATGGACAAACCGTTTCCCCACCATGGCCCTCAGTTTCCCTTCTCTAGGATGAGAGTGTATGTCTAAGGCTCTTCCAGCTTTTCTTTAAAAGTTTTATTTGTTTTTACTTTTTAAAAAGATTTTATTTATTTTTAGAGAGAGGGGAAGGGAGGGAGAGAGGGAGAGATACATCAATGTGTGGTTGCCTCTCACGTGCCCCCTGCTGGCGACCTGGCCCACAACCCAGGCCTGTGCCCTGACTGGGAATCAAACTGGCGACCTTTTGGTTCACAGGCCGACCCTCAATCCACTGAGCCACACCAGCCACAGCTATTTATTTGTTTTTTAGCGGGGGGGGGGGGGGGGGCGGGGGGGGGGGAGGGGGGAGGGAGAGAAACATCAATTGGTTTCCTCACACATGCCCCGAGCAGGGCTCCTGGCCTGAAACCCAGGCAGGTGCCCTGACCTGAATCAAACCAAAGAAACTTCAGTTTGGGGGACGATGCCCAACCCACTGAGCCGCACCAGTCAGGGCAGCCCTTCAAATCTTGACGTCAAATTCCTCTGTCCAGTAGACTTTTTAATGATAATTCCTGGAATTACATACTGTGAACTTCTGAAATTACTTACCCTGTTCACATAGAAAATGTGTTTATAAATGTAATGAATATAAAAATGAGTCTTACTTAATGGAGAGTGATTTCTAAAAACAATAAAATGGGTCATGTTTTTCTTCCTTAAGAAGCCACTTCTCTGTCCTTTACCTCTGGTATATATGAAATAATTGTTATCAATTATTTTCCAAATTTCCCCAGACCTAAAATAAAACCCATGACCAAAGTGTTTGCATGTACTTACTTCTTTATGGTGAATGCTTTTTCTTTGATTAAATGTTTTTAAAGCTTTTCCATATAAAGTTCCTTTTTTATTTTTTTGCTTGATGCTGAAAAAAGAAAAAGGAAAAAGAAAAAGAATGGCACTAGAAGTGAGGAACAGAAAACCCAAAGGCATTACATTTGTTCTGCATTAAGGAGACTTGGCCAGCCCCTTTCAAACACAGAAACATACAGCTAAGAGCAGTCCATACAGAAAATGGGAAAAGAAAGCTATCGCGTATTTTTTGATAGAAATGGTTTGACATTAAAATGTATTTATTTGGTAGGTAGAGACAAATGTATTTGAAAAAATAAATAAATAAATTTAAAAAATGTATTTATTTGATCGTATTTTAAAAAGCAGGGCAGAATCACATCCATTTTCTTCATAGTATGAATATACACAGACTGAATTGCAGAACCCTTAGTTGGTTTTGGAAACTTCTGAAGAGCTGATTACTAGCCTTGGAAGCCTCTTCCTTTCCTTCCAGGCCTCCTGCTCTTTTGGGGGGGGGGGAGCTGGTGACAACTGCTGCCGCTTCAGGAGCACGTAGTTGAGCTTGCCAAACCCTTTAAACCTCCTCCCACAGGCAACAAGGTGAACTGGCTTACTTTGTATCTGAAGTCGTTAGGTAAGCCAGTTATCAAACAGAGAACAGAGGGAAGGTTGCACTGTAGATAATTTCCAAAGTTAGGAAAGGATGAACTCAGAGCTTAACTGTTTAGTTCTTTCTTCTGCTGATGAGAGAGAGAGAGAGAGAGATGCTGGCAAGGTATCTCCGATCTTTGATCCACTGAGACATCAGAGTATTGCACTCAGTTCCTTTGATTAAAATATGTTGGAAAGCCACCGCTGGGCGGAAAAGAGGAGTTATTGCAATGACGGCACTGTAAGAAGAAAATCAACACAGTGGAGAGCAGACAGTGTCCTGTTCCTCTTGATTTCCAATGGTCACTCCACTCCCGTCATCTTTATGGTCCAGGCAAACTCAACTGGGAGAGCAGAGGGTGGTAACTGGGGCAGATAAATGAGGAGATCTTCATGTGGATTTTTGGACCACTTCAGATCATTTTGGAATCCCAGCATAATTACCTGAAGAAAGCAAAAGGCAATGGAAAAAACATTAATGCATCAATGAGTACAGAACATGGCCTGAATATGGTCGAAAACAACCAAACTGGGCCAGGGCAGGGAAGATAGTCTAAAAGGGGCCCAGGCTGCTGTGGAGTGGGTTGAGAGCCAGCCTGCAAATCAAAGAGTCGCCGGTTTGATTCCCAATCCGGGTGCATGCCTGGGTTGCGGGCCAGGTCCCCAGTAGGGGGTGTGTGAGAGGCAACCACATACTGATGTTTCTCTCCCTTTCTTTCTCCCTCTCTTCCCCTCTCTCTAAAAATAAATAAATAAAATGTTTTAAAAGATAAATAAATGGGTAATAAACATGGGGGAAACCTGGGGAGGAAACAAGAAGTAGAGAAGACCTGCCAATTCCTTTAAAAAATGTTACACCTCAGAAAGGACTGACTGAGGCTCCTTACCCGTGTACTGGAGGTAGTTTGCGGGGATTTAAGGCTTAAGACTCCATTTTCTGGCCATTTCAGGAAAATGGCATAAACAGCTGCTCCTTTGGAGGTATACCTGAGGGAAAGAACATCATTATCAAAGATAACTGGCTTGTTACCCCGACACCTAAGGTTATTACACATAACCTTATACATTCCCCTTTCTATTCTCTACCAATTCCAAGACCTTGTATCTGTCACTGACTGACACCAGTGACAGACACAATAACTCAATGCCAGTTAAGGTCTGAGGGAGGAAAGCAGCCTCTTCCTGAAGTATCTTCTATTTTCCTTCTCTATTGGGTTATAAGTTTTCTTGAAAATTTTTTTAACTCTTATACTAGTTATTTCCCACTGAAGTCATCTGCTTTATTATTCAAATATTTTTTCAACTCTAAATCCACGTGAAAACATCAGAGGATATCACGAGGGCAAGATGTGCCATGAAGACAAATTTGTTATTCAGAGATTTCACCATGCTTAGAGGAGAGAATGAAAATCATGAGACAGAAGCTCATCTAAAGCTGAGGGCTGATCGTGTTTCCCCTGATCCAACGACCTACACTCCATGGTATAACGGCAGGTATCTCTGATTAAACACGTTGCATGTGCCTGACACTCTGCTGGAAGCTTTACATCCATTATCTCATTTAACCCTCACAACAGCTCTAGGAAGTTAAGTATCAGTCACCCCATGTTGCAATTGAAAAAAATGAGGTCCAAGATCAAATATCTGGACCACAATTTCAAGTATGAATTATGACTTCTCCATTTACTAGCTTTGTGATCCTAGGCAAGTTATATGACTGCTTTGGGCCTCCTTTCTCACTTGTAATATGGGGATAATAATAGTATCTATTTGGTGGGCTTGTTGAGGGGATTAAATGGATGCAAAGAATTTAGAATGGAGCTTTGCATACTGTAGGTGCTACACAACTATTAGCTATTACTAATTTTAGGAAGACAGGGTAAAGTGTCAAGTAAATTGATGCTTTTTGCACCAAGCCTATCACCACCCTCACTAGTCACAAATATCCTGGTGGCTTAAACCATAAACTGAGGTACAAATTAATAGCAAAAGAACAACTTTTGGGTTTCTTCAAGATGACTTCTGGTGTGGCTTCTAACATTGTGGACTCAAGGAAATGCCAGTTCAGGACGGGCCACAGTCCCATTCCTGCACACGACCGAAGACAAGACTCACCATACAGATTCGTTCTTTTCCAATTGTACCCTCCACGGTTTAGAGGAATAGATAGCTTCCCCATTGATGCGTAGCCACTTCCCAACGGCAAGTAGCCTTTCTTGGAAGATGGGAACAATCAGTCCATCTTTAGTTGGCCCAATGTTGAGAAGATAGTTTCCTCCCAGACTTACTGTCTGAACCAGTTCCTAGAGAGAGCAGAAACAAGGAAATCCTAGTTGTGAATCCTAATCCTGGCATAGTGCCTGGAACACACAGCTCTTAAGAGAAGAAACATAATCTAGGGCACCTTCTCTCCCTGCTTTGTGAATGCCCTTTACCCTTTTGAAAAAGGCTATATATTTTTGTCATTATAAAAGCAAGACAGGGTTATATAACAAAACTGAAAAATACTGCTACAAGATGGAGAAATATATTAACTCAAATTCCAGGAGTGATCACGGGCATTTCCCTGGGAGGGAAGGGTCGTGTGTCAGAAGCACAAAGTGCACGCAGGAGAGCTGAGAACAAAGCACTCGGCCATGAGGGGATCACATGGAGCCATTCGGAGAGACTACAGGGATCAGAGAGAAGAGATTTTGAGGAGGCGCTGTGGAGGCTTTGGGGAGACAGAAGAGATCTGAAGACTTTCAGTAAGCTCTGTATGTCGCGGGCTATATTAATGTGTATGTTGCCCCACTGGGAAAACATGCTGTAAAGAGATACAGTAGTTCCTCCTTATCTGTGGTTTCATTTTCTGCAGTTTCAGTTACCTATGGTCAACTGCAGTCTAAAAATATTAAATGAAAAATTCCAGAAACAAACAGTTCATAAGTTTTAAGTACCTCACTTCATCTCATCAGCTAAGAGTTGTATCATCTCACATGATCACAAGGAGAAGGGTGAATACAGTACAATCAGGTATTTTGGGAGACCAAATTCACGCAACTTTTATTATAGTATATTGTTATAATTGTTCTGTTTTATCATTACTTATTGTTTTTAATCTCTTACTATGCCTAATTTATAAATTGAACTTTATTATAGGTAGGTACTCTAGGAAAAAAACATTATATATATAGAGAGAGTTCAGTACTATACTTGGTTTCAGGCATCCACTGGGGGTCTGGATCACATCCCTGAGAATAAGGAGGGACTAAGGTACATCCTTCACGACTTCTAAGTGGGATGTGTGTGTGTTTACTTGTTTACTTTGACCTCAAACAGGTGCACTTCAGGGCAATCCAGAAAAATTAAGGTTAATACAGAAAATTCTAAAAAGGAGAATTTGTTACTGTACCCCAAAGATACCACACCACTAACTTTTTGTTTCCTTTCGGTCTTTTTTCTATGTAGTTAATTTTATATAGTTGTGATAATGCATAACTTATTTTTTCACTTAACCCTCTAAGCATTAACCTATATTACATTGATAAATATTTTTTTTCAAAGATTGTATTTATTTTTAGAGAGAGAGGGGAAGAAAAGGAGAAAGAGAAGGGAGAGAAACATCAATGTGTGGTTGCCTCTTGTGTGCTGCCCACCGGAGACCTGGCCCACAAGCCAGGCGTGTGCTCTACACTGGGAATCGAACCGGCAGCCCCTTTGGTTTGCAGGCCGGCCCTCAATACGCTGAGCCACACCAGCCAGGGTCTACATTGATAAGTATTTTAATGGTTAAGGCCAACCCCCAAATCTACTTAACTTATCCCTTTATGGTTACAAGAAATTGAAACAACCCATATGTCTAACTGAAAATTACCCTGGGAAGAACATATCTGTACATAAAACTTTCTTCTGTGATTATAACAGTTCCCTCAGGACAGGTTTCTCTGAGTATGTTCAATAACCCTAAAGGGTACTATCAACCTGCACGTTCATTCGGTGTTTCCACCATGTTCAGTTGGAAGGCTAGTTTGAGATGGTAGTTAACAAATAATTAACTCGCAGGGGTCTTACCGAAATGATTTCAGATTCACTTGAAATGTCAGATATTGACATGGTGCGACGGTAGCCCCACGACCTCTTGTCTATGGAGGTGCACATCTCCCACTTGTGGTCTGGCAAGCTCGATGGCTGGAATTTATCTTCACAGTTGTAGTATCCTCCATGGTGACAGGAACAGTTATAACCCCATCGGTCATTTACTACTACCTCATCCTAAAGGAGGAAAGAGTACTGAGTCACCAAGGGGAAAATGCCTTATTTTCCTTACATAATGCAGCATGATAACTTAAGATTCTATTTGGATGCAAGGCCCAGATTTAGTCTAGAGCAGCAATTTTCAACGTTTTCCATCTCATGGCACATATAATAATTACTAAAATTCTGTGGCATGCCAAAAAATAGATTTTTTGCCAATCTGACAAAAATAGGTATAATTTTGATGCCATTCATACCTTATAATTATTGTTGTGTTGGCTGCTGCCATTTTTTGACTTGACAGTCTAAGAAAAAAGAGGTCAGTGCCCCTGAATAAAACAGTCAGGGAACTGCATGTTTTAAACATTCTTAAGGCAGGGTGGGTGGAAATCGCTGGTCTTCTAGAGCTGTAGTTCTCCGCGGGGGTCCATTTTGCCCCAGGGGAATTTGACAAAGCCTAAGAGACACTTTGGGTTGTCACAACTGGGGTGGTACTACTGCCATCTGGTGGGTAGAGGCCAGGGACAGTGTTAAACTTTTTACATCAAGGACAGCTTCATCACAACAGAGAAATATGCAGCCCCAAGTGTCGATAGTGCAGAGGCTGAGGAACCCTGGTCTAGTCATCTGTCCCGGTAGAGCTGGCAGGGCCTGTTTCAAAGATCGTCTTGTAAACCACTTATTTCATAAGAGGAGAAATGGAGAGAAGACTCGCCCAAGGTAAAACCTGATAGTTTCGGAAAGCTGGGACTATGGGGATCAGGTATTTGAGCCCAGCCCAGGACACTTTGCACTACATGACCTAGTAAAGAAGGTCAATCAAATATTCTTTTCCTTCCTTCAAGGTTTAGCTGAACTATGAGAATGAGAAATCATTACACAGAGTACGTAAATGTAAGTGTTTCCTACTTCTAGGAGGCTCATCCTGGGGTACCTAAAGTGAATGAAACACAGTTCCTGCCCTCCAAGAGACAGCAGAGGCTAGCTGAGGAGACAGCTGTGTGAACAACTGTCGCATTATATCGGAGTTAATTACCTAGTGATTAACATAAATGGAGTATGCTGATCCAGGATGTTTTTTAATACTTCCAGGAGAGAATATAAATTGCCAGGAGCCAGATTTACCTTACATTCAATCAATATTATCATGTGCCTAACTAAGCCAAATTTTTTTTGCGCGTTGGGGATAGCAATAAACAGATCCAAACCCTTGCCCTTATAAAGTATAAAGTTGACACTTCAGTGAGAGAGACAGATCATAAACAAGGTAAATGATACTTAGAATACATTAGACCAGGTAAGCGCTAAGAGAAAGAGAAAGCAGGGAAAGACAGGAAGTGTGACAGGCTGCAATTTCAGATAGGGTGGCGGGGCGGCTGCCCAAGGCCGAGGACCTCTGAGGGAAGACCTGCGGGGACCACAGGTATCGCAGACAGGGGGAGTGGTAAGGAGAAGAGTCTAGTTCTTCTAAAAATGCTCTCTAATGTGACTGCTGCTCCAAAATGACGCTTTTTCCTAATGCATGAGAAAGCATTCGGAGCCTTGCCTGGGTAGCTCAGTTGTTTAGAGCATCGTTCTAATAAGCCAAGGTTGCAAGTTCAATCCCTGGTCAGGGTACATACAAGAATCAACCAATGAATGCATGAATGAGTAGAACAACAAATCGATGCCCCTCTCTCTCCTTTCTTCTCTCTCTAAAATCAATCAATACATAAAAACTTCTAAAAAATAAAAGAAAGCATTCAGAACAAGAGTGGGAAACCAAGGTCTACAGCATCCCACCCAAGGGTCCACAGCTGAACCACCCCATGTGAGGACCCTTGGCAGAGAACCAGGATGCTGTGCCACTAAAAGTGGCACATACATTTGGCGAAAACCACTCTTAATTTGTCTCTATTTGTCACATAAGATCTCTTTCTTTTTTCCTTTCTTCTCATTTTCTGAGTTTAGTAATAGTTACCCAATAAGAGGTTTATTAATCTACCAAGATAGCTTAACTCAAACTGTTCTTATACTTTGGTTTTTCTAGATCTACAACAAATTCAGAATATGTAACATTTTTGAAATTTCCTATAGTGAGGATTAAGACTTCTGCCACTGTGTACATGTACTAAAATACAAACTGTAAGTGGACAGCTACTATGCAGTGTAATAGTGTTGACTGGGCGTGGGCGGGTGATGGGGGAAGAAGACAAAGTTCCCTCAAGAATTTGGATATAAAGGAAATAAAATTTCCCCTCGAGAGTTAAACTACATAATCAACCCAGAGTAGGTGAAATCATAGATATTCGCATTTTACTCCTATCATTTAATTTTTTTTATTTGGTATATTAATTTTAACAAGATTTAAACCTGTGTTGTCAAAATCAAGAATTAAAGGAGAAAAAGAAAGTTTATGTTTAAAGGAAGAGGGAAAGAATTAAAGGTGAAAGGACTTTACCACCCATTAAGTCTCGAGGTCCCTAGCACCCCCATGAGAGTATTAGTATTTATTATTGTGGCTGTTGTCATTGTCGTTATTACCCCAGATCTTGTCTCTCTATAATTTTTACACAAATATTTGCTTCATAATTACTCTTTTTATTTTTTTTAAGATTTTATTTACTTATTTTTAGAGAGAGAGGCAGGAAAGGAGAAGGAGAGGGAGAGAAACATTGATGTGTGAGAGGAACATAAATTGGTTGCCTCTCTCACACCCCCAAATGGGGACCTGGCCTGCAACCCAAGCATGTGCCCTGGCTGGGTATCGAACCAGTGACCTTTTGGTTTACAGGCCAGTGCTCAATCCACTGAGCCACACCAACCAGGTACTTTTTTTTTTTTTAATCATAACAGATGAGTAAGAGAGAAGTCATATAATCACATACCTTGACTGGGCTGTCATTGTAGAGCCAAGAAAGAAAACCTGTAGAGTTCCAGTATGTATCGGGACTTTCCCAGTCTCCATCAGACCAAATCAAGTCAGGTTTATATCTGAAAGACATGCAATTAGAACAAAGTTTATTACCTGAATCCATCTGCAATAAAGTCTTACAAATCATTCTTTGCAATATAGTCAGGACTGTAATGAATAATTAAAAATTAACTTTCTTCCATTTTGGAAGTACCATAAATTACCACAATGCAGAGAATGTGGAACACTAAAGAGACAAAAACAACCACATACACAAAAAACGCCTCTGCTCTCATAGCCACTTTTGAATACACAGCATTTTGGTATATTCCCTCCTAATCTTTTATTATTTTTAAAGCCTTTTTAAAAAACAGAGTTGTAATCAGTATTATACAATTTGGTCTCCCTCCAGCAACTAATTCCAACTAAAAGAATGGTTCTCCAGCCCTGGTTGGTGTGGCTCAGTGGATTGAGTGCTGGCCTGTGAACTGAAGGGCTGCTGGTTCGATTCCCAGTCTGGGCACATAGTTGCGTTGTGGGCAAGGTGCCCAGTTGATGTATATTTCACACATAGATTTTTCTCTCCCTCTCTTTCTCCCTCCCATCCCTAAAAATAAATAAAACCTTAAAAAAAAAAAAGTACTCCAGAACTATAGGATTACGGTTTCTGCTTCATTAAAATGTATTAAGATCTTGAAATACTCCACCCAATGCATTTCTTGGGACATCTACCCAAAGTTTCAACTATAAAGGATTTATAGAACCACCTGAGCCACAGTTGTACCTTCCACGTATTATTACTCTGACTCCAATGAGGTGTGAGTGTGAATATATACCTATAAAGTAAGCATTATTAGTCCCACTTTAGAGAGCAAGAATCTGAGACTCAGCAGGCCAATTTGTTTCAAGTGAAAAGGCTTGTAAATAAACAAGCTGGAATTCAAATATAAGTCTGCCTGCAGCCAACTCCTATACTGTACTTCATAATCAGGACAGCAAGCAGGCTCCTGGAAAAACACTGCCTGTTTAGGAGGCAAAATACAACATAATCTGTAATTTACTGTGTATGAGAAACTGTACTGGGCATTTTATATTCATTGCTTCACTAGCCCTTACAGTGATCTTATGGTGTATATTATCTCCATTTTGCAGATAAAAAACAGATCTAGAAAGGTTAAATAGTTTGTTCACGGCCACACAGCCAGTAGAAAAAAGAACTGGATTCCAGATCCAGTTCTGTCTGACTCCAAGCCTCTGCTGGTCTCTTACAACAGTACTATTTCCTTAGAGATGCCCTGGATGCAAGGAGGGTCTGGCCCCCGCCCCTCGCTGCTGCCTCTCTAAAATGAGAGGCCAGGCAGAGATGCCTGCTTCTTAGCCTCTAGAAGCCCTCAGGTGTGAGAAAGGCAAACCAGGAATAAAACAAGGTGAAGACCAATCCCAAAGTAAAAGTGATCACTTTAAGAATATTAACAACAACACTTATTCTGTACGAGGCACCGTGACAGAGATTTTTCACATATTACTCTGAGCCCTATAAGAAGGCATTATTATCCCCACTTTACAGTGAGGATCTGAGGCTCAGAAGGGTGAGCTGTTTAAGGCTTTTTAAGTAACAAGAGCCAGGATTCAAATGCAAATCTGCCAGAGGCCAAATCCCACGTGGGGCCTAGGGTCCCTCGGACCAAGATGCCTCTCCAAGGTTCTGACAGAGACAATGGCACGTGAGGAGGGACCTGAAGTTCTGACTTAACTGCCATTCTGGGTTCTGTTCGATTGTTTCCATTTATAAAGATAATGTGACCACATTACACAGGTTTTGAAGAGTAGGAGGAATCATACATTTTGTCTCCAACCACCACTTTTATTATTCTGATGTCCTCTAGATTTTTTTCATATTCCACGTTTTTTTTCATATTCCTTTCCTCCCAACATAATAGTATCCTATAGAAAGCTCTGATTTCATTTAGAAAAGTCATAGCTCAAAAATATTTCTGTGTTTTACCTGTTAACGAGGTCATATAGCTCTGGCATTGTTTTTGCAGTCACAAAATACTGTGTTTTGAAACCATTTTTCTTATCAAGTAGGTAGAGTGGATGGAACCATTCAAAGAGTGAGTGATAGAGTCCATAGCGTATGTTCCTTAAACAAAAAAACAGGACAGCAACTGTCATTAAGCAAAGAAAAGATAGTTTATTTTAAGAAAAATCAGTGGCAGCATTTTCATACCTCAGTGAAATGTGCCCATAAAGCCATGAAGGAGGCTGGGATCTGAAACCATTAAGTTAAATGATCTCTTATCATTCAATTAAAATGACTGGTTTACTAAGTTTTTGATAGTACACATAACTACTTTTTATACATACTTTTTAAAAACCTTTTTATTTATTGACGAGAGAGAGAAACATCAATTTGTTGTTCCACTTATTTATGAATACATTGGTTGATTCTCCCCTGAGGTTATTTATTTATTTATACATTTTCATTGTATTTTTCCCATTCCCAGGCAGCCCCCTTATACCCCCCACCCCCGCCATCACCACACTGTTGTCCATGTCTGTGAGTCCTTTTTCCTTTTTGCTTGATCCCTCTACCCTCTCACCTGCCCACCCCCCACCCCTCCATAGCTGTCATCCTGCTCTCTATCTCATTGGTTGATTCTTATATGTGCCCTGGCCAGAGATCAAACCCACGACCTTGACATATTGGGACAATGATGCTCTAACCAACTGAGCTACTCTGCCAGGGCTATACACAAATATCTTAACATCAAATATCATTTATACCATCTTTTAGGTCAATTATCTCAATAACAACATATAGTCCATTTTTTTAAAAATTCTGTCAATCAAAAGAATACATATTGTAGAGATACGGAAAAATAGAGAAAAGTGTAAAGAATAACATATCCAAAAATCTTATCACTCAGAAAAAAAATCATTAGTAACGTTTTCCATGTAGTTGAAATGAATGATTAAAGGTTTACTGTTTCATTTAGCTAAGATTGATTAGTTTTTAACATACCCAAAGTGAAACAGGGTTAAAGTGACCTATTTTCATAGACAATGAAGCTTGTTTTGAGTTAAGACTGGTGAGAGTTACAGAAAACACTACGCTGCAAGTTAAGAAGTAAGGCGCATTGTGCCCTGGCCGGCATGGCTCAGGGGGTTGGGCGCCGGCCTGCAAACTGAAAGGTCGCCAGACTGATTCCCAGTCAGGGCACAGGCCTGGGTTGTGGGCCAGCTGGGGGCCTGTGAAAGACAGCAAATCGATGTATCTCTCACACATCGATGTTCCTCTCCTTCTCTTTCTCTCTCCCTTTCCCTCTCTAAAAATAAATAAATAAAATCTTTAAAGAAGTAAGGTACAGGGCAATGGCACAGATAAGGCAGAAAGCACTGAAGTTGGTTATTTCACCATATGACCTGGGAACTAGGTAGATACAAAGAAGATAAAAATCAAGTATCCTAAAGTCTGAACCTAATCAACCCCTCAGAGGGTCTACAACAGGACTATCATCTACGCACATCATTGGGAAGCTGAATATTAAACAGGTGGCAGGAGTCAGCACACACTTTCCTAAAGGGTCAGATAGTAGTTTAGGCTTTGCAGGCCTTGTGGTCTCTATCCTAACTCTGAAATTGTAACATGAAAGCAGCCATTGATAACACACAAATGAATGGGCAAAGCCATGTTCCAATCAAACTTCATTTATACCAACAGCCAACTGGGGCACCGCTTAAATAGGATACCAAGTTTACCAAATCGCAACAGAGCTGAGACTGGGCGAATACCACTTTTCCTCCTTGCAGGCAAATGTACTGGAGCTGTAAGGTCCAAAACCAGAATACCTGATTTTAAATCCCACCTCTGCCACCTCCCAGCTCTTCGATCTTGGGAAGTTATTTCTTAAGTGGCAAATATTAGGGAGCATTAACTAGAATCAACCCAGTGGCTCCTTACCTTACTTTTTGCTGCTTAAACTGCCCTTTTCCGTTCCCTCTTGACCTATCATTTACCCAAACCTGCCCTGAATGCCTGCAAAGATCTGTGTCAATGACTTAAGGGGGACACAAAGATGAGACACGCAGTCCCTGGTGTCCATCAGACCCTGGAAAAGGGCTGGAAGGCTTTCCAGAAAGAATCCTTCTCAGGGTACAAATGGGCCATTGTTGTCTACGCTGGGTATCCTTCACCCAACTAGACAGAGCCAGGAATTTCTCTGATGGTGTCACCGTTGGTCACATAAAAACGGCCAAGCATTGAACACTGCTAATTCAAAAACCAAAAGCCCTTCAGGGTACTCGCTAAATGACAATTTCAAAACCACAGAGGAGTGGAGAAGGTATGGTACAGCGGATGGCTGCTAGATCGGAAGCGATGACGGGTTAACTCTCCGTGGACACACACCTCTTCCGGATGGCCGTTCCCAACTCACCAACCAAATCACGGTGGGGCCCCACGTCCTGAGAGTTCCAGTTCCAAGACACCGGACTTGGCCAGTTTGTGAAGCCTTCGTGATGCTTTGTTGTCAGGACTACATACCTGTGGACATCAAAACCACATGAGCAAAGGAAGTGGGCAGTGGGCCACGAACATGAACCCACCCAGCATGACCGAGGCCTTGGAAATGTTTGGATGTGGCTGTCTGAACGTGGAGCAGAGGTACAGTGACCACCGAACTGAAAAGCTGTCTTAAGACAGAAAAAAAGGAAGTGGGCAACTCCACAGAATGTAACGGAATTTATTATAGGGTAATTTAGTTACAGGGATGTAGGGTCGGAGTGGATGGACAACCCTGGCAGTTCTGCGCAGCTTCTTCTCCGCTGCGCTACAGTTACTACAGTAAATGTTTTATCGTATAGCTGAACTAGTAATGACTGACAAGGTGAAGGGGCAGAGGATGCAATATGAGCCAGGAACCCTACCTCCCAGTGGTCTTAGGATGGGTAATTGCTTAGAATTGACACTGACACCTGCTTTGATATGTCTCAGCTTGCTATGCCATTCTGGCCACTTACTGACAGAAATATTTATGATTACGTTGTACAGGCTTACAGAAGACAGAAGTCATTAACTATAAGGCCTGTGAATGCTGGTCAGGAACAGTGAGCTTGGTCAAAGCTAAAGTCTGCATACAGAGAGTGGGGGGCTTACAAAGATGGAGTCAAGTTTGCCCACATCAATGTACTATATACTTGCCTATAGGAAACATAGGAGTTGGTGTAGTCTCAGCTTTCCATGGGTATTGCTCCAGAAATGGAAGCAAACTTCAGGAAGCCACAGTCCTTAGTCCTCAGCTAAGGAGGAAGGCTAGAGGGAAAAGATGTGCACCTCAGCTCCCCTTCTTCAACTTTCTGGGAATTAATGATTAGCTTTTCTTTCTTAAAAAATGATTTTATTTATTTATTTTTTAGAGAGAGGGGAAGGGAGGGAGAAAGAGGGGAAAGAAACATCGATGTGTGAGACAAACATCCATCGGTTGCCTCTTGCACACTCCCAACGAGGGACTTGGCCCACAACCCAGGCACGTGCCCTGACCAGAAAGCAAACCTGCGACCTTTCGGTTTGTGGGAATGAGGCTTAACCTACTCAGCCACACCAGTCAGGGCTGATTAGTTTTTCTTAAGCCTTGGCTCTAAAGTAGAAAGAAATCTTTACAGGAAATAGCAGGTGATAGAAAAGTAAGCTATTTGTTTTACCAAGCCTCTCATTTATAGAGGTGACCAAAGTCCAAACGAGCTGAGGAGAACAGGCAAATGTTGAAATACCTACCAAATCACTCAACATTTGACTTGCTTTTATGGCCAGGGAAAAAGAAACCAAGATAATTTAATCGCTGGCTAGTGGGGGAGCTCCAAGACTTTAAGGGCCAGATTGTATTGCAGGCTTTGTGGGCATAACACTTTTAAAATATAAAAATCATTCTCATCTCATGGAACTTACAAAAACAGGCAGAGGACCAATCCCTCTGGCATGGAATACAAACCTCTGGTATGGGGAAGAACCTTCACCTTGGAGGGGTGGGTTTGGAGTCTAGGACATCAGCTCCCTTCGTCTACCTGGGCCAGTCACCTGGACCGTGAAAAGGGGTCTGGACAAGGAATATTTCCCAGATTTTAATTTTTTTTTTTTTATTTTGAGTTATGGACCTAGAGGATAGAGAACACCTCCTCTGTTTATTCCAGCCTTATATTTCCATACACTAAACGTCACTGTAATTGCTTAACTACAAGAAATCTTAAAGTCCAAGAGGAACTAAGGCCTGGAAGATGACTGAAGAGACAAGGGTGGAAGGCTATTCTAAGCCGGGAGCCAGAAGACCTGCCTGTCTCCATTCTTACTCTCCTCCAACCCACGTCCCTCCCAGCAGCGAGGCTAATCCTTCTAGAAGCTAAGGATAAACATTCCCTGACTTAACACCTGGCCACATACTGCGATCCTTCAAGATTGGCACCCGCCTTCAACAATCTCATGGGTCCTTGTCTCTCTCCTCCCCACCTCATCACTTTCAGTTCTTTGTCCATTCACACGCAAACTCCAAGAGTTCTCAAAACAATTCAGACATTTCTTGAGAGCTTTCATGTGCAAGGTATTGAGAAGAGCAGATGACTGAGAATCTGTACTGTTGCCCCAAACCACTGCACACCAGGACTCACTTCCCTTTCCCTCTCACAGATATTGAAACCCAAAGGAACTAATACAATCCCTTTCAACGGCCAGGAAGGAGGCTGCAGGGAGGTGAAACGCCTTGAAGTTCACAGCTGAACCAGGACCAGACTCCATACCACTTGCTTAAAAATCTTGGAATCTTGACTGTCTTGTAGACAGGGAACGGACAATGAGGTATCCCCTAGCTCCGTCCCCTCAGCGCGATGTAACGGGTGCTGACACTGAAGGCTTTCCCTCCCACCACCGCCCCGGAACTTTTATTTTCTTCGAATCCTCAACCCAGGCGTACCGTCTCCTTACGATCAGGCATGCAACATTCAACTTTGTATCCTTCAGGGGACAAAACACATGACCTGAGGGTATCTTAAGTCAGAGAGACGGCTGTGTGACCCTGGGCAAGCCGTCTCTGTTCGGTTTCCACCGGCCTAACCCCCGTTCCATCACTCCGATCCGGGAGGTGGGGTGGGGTGGGGTGGGGTGGGGCGGGGCGGGGCGGGCGGGGGAGGCGGGGGCGAGGACCGGGGTGACTAAGGCGCTGCGCCGGCACCCGCTGCCGCACTCACTTGGCCCCAGCGGCCTGGAAGAGGTCAGCCCAGTCGTCGGGGTCGAAGAAGCGCGCCGTGAACTGCGGCCCGAAGTCAGCGTAGCTGAAGCCGGGAGGGTAGTTGTCGCTCATGAAGCGCTTATACTGCAACAATCCTTCACCCTTCCAGTGCCACCAGAACCACTCGCTGCCCCAGGCCGGCACCGAGAACACGCCCCAATGCACGAACACCCCGAACTTGGCCTTGTCGAACCAGTCCGGCAGTGGCCGGGAGTCCACACTCGGCCAGTCCGGAGTGTAGCGGCGCTGAGCCCTGAGCGCCGACTCCGCTGCTCCGAGAACCAACAGCAGCAGCAGCAGCTCGGTGTCCACCGCCCGCGACCTCATTTCGGGAGATAGCTTCTCCACCTTCCCACCTTTCCTCTTCAACCATCCCCTCTTAACGCGCAGGTGCGGGCGCGCGGCCCCGCCCACTCTAACTAATGATTGGCTAGGAAGAAAGGGGGCGTGCCAGCCCTGGCCTTTTGGCTTCCGAATCTCTTGGTCAGCCGTGCCTGTCGCTCCCTCTGTATCTTAAAGGGAGAAAGACGCAAGGACGCGTCGACAGCGCTCCGCTGATGGTCTCAGAAAAACTTTAGAAGAGACTTCATGGCGCGGTTAAACCGTGAGGCTGCGGAAGGCCCGATGTGTGCAGAGAACTGGGAGCAGTGCATTTTTGCCGTTGAGAGCCATAGGGGACTTTTTAAGTCGTAGTACAGAAGAGTAAGCCTGGAGGCAGGAATACCAGATGCAAGGCATCGTAGCAGTCCTGGTAGAAATAACAAGGTAGAATAATGATGGTAGAAGCATTAGGAAGGAAGAGGAGGGAGAACAGTGGGTGCTGAAAGACAAAGAGCAGGTGTGGCCATTTTGCCAAATACTTGCTTTGGGAATTCTGAAGCCATTCACAGAGTTTAACATCTAATTGGGAAAACAAGACCCACGTACATACAAGCCGCCACAACGGAACGTTTTTAGAGTAGTAGGGTAAGAAAAATTAAGAGCCTCATGCCCTACAACATAGGAATATAATCAATAATATTGTAACAACTATGTATGGTTTCAGGGGGGCACTACTTTATAAAGTATGTAATTGTCTAACCAGTGTGCTATACTCCTGAAAATAACATACAATGATATTGAATGTCACCTGTAATTGGGAAAAAATTAACAAAATATAAAAAAGAGCCCCAGGCCCTAGGAGTACCCATGTGAATCTTGTCTGGCAGGGTGGTAACCAAGTCCTCCACAATCCATACATGCTGCGCAGAATCAGACAGGAAGCAAGGGCTTCAGGTGTGTGAAGTATAATGATCCCAAGCAGCATAGCCAGTCCCCACATATTAGTGAGAGAATTGCAGCATGTCAGAGGTGGAAGGGACTTTGGAAATCCTCTACACAATCCCCTTTCCCACTCTTTACATTTTAGGAAGGAGGAAAATGAGACTCACAGAGGGGATGGAAGTTGCTCAAGATTGTGCAGCTAGATGGGATCAGAAGTCTGACTAGAATCCAGGTCTCCAGAGGTAGAATCTATGCCTCTCAGCATGCTACTTCTCTCTTGTACCCCAGGAGGGATAAGAGCCTGTGTTGACAGAACCAAGCACTTCCTCATCCTAGGAGTGGTTAGGAAATACAATGGCAGTTGCTGAATAAATAGTTATTTTTCTAATCTTCTGTGTTTCTTTCTTTGCAAGATTATGCTGAAATATTGTCCAAAACAATAAGCACAAATGCTTTTAAAAAAACCTGTCTTCACACACTTTCTAGTGATCAGAGTAATGATTTTTGATATTACAGAACTCATGTTGGGGAAGACGTAATGGGACACTGTGACCCTCATTTCTTCTTAACCTTGTGAAAATTAATAAACAGAAACTTCTTTTAAAGTGGAATCAAGAGGCTAGAAGAGAGAACTCTCACTCACATGTCACTCAGTGCGGACTATTAACCCCAATAAGAAGAGACATACCTTGCATCTACAATAGGAGGTGATGCTATTGTACATTACTACCTAAGCACGAGAAAGGAACGATTCCTCCTTGCCCTGTTACAGTTCAGCCAATGAGAAACTGCCATAACTCAGGCAATGAGAAATCACTGTACTTTACACGTTTAGTTTCCTCCAGTGGATTCTTCATTTGCAACAGGCCCTCTGAAGTCTATCAAAGAGCAGCCCTCTCCTTTGTTTCTCTGGACTTGAGCATGGTTTACCACTAGGCCACAGGTCCTGAATTGCAATTCTTTGTTTTTCCTGAATAAACCCATTTTGCTGGAGAAATATCTGGCTGTCTATTTGTTAAAGGTCAACATCCTCGTAACCAAAACGCAAATCTGCAGGAGCAGGCGAGAGGCACTATGAAAGAGTGGACAATTCTGGGAACTGGGGAACCTGGATTTCTGGCACTAGACACTACTTTCTGGGCTTTGCTTGAGCAAGTCTTGTCCACAGTCTGAGCCCATTTCCTTATCTAAACAATGCAGGCAGTTCTCAGTGATATCCAAGGTCCCTTACCCCCTTGCTCTCCTCCTTCATAAACTCAAGTGCTTGACTTAAAGCTGAAATAAGAGACTGTGAAAGGAGAGAGGTAGAAAGTGTGGAAAGGAGAGGGGTAGAAAGTGTGAAAGTGAATTTAATTCAACTATTTGTAAGTTCTATATTTATTAAAGAAATATTAACTGGGTATCAATTTATGCCATGTATTTGGGCATTTCCTTTGGTAAAATGAGAAAAGACCCCACTGATGAATAAAGAAAGGCATGCCCAAATTTAAAGAGCCACAAATTTACCTTTAAAAAATCATGCTCTTTCAAGTAAGTTAAATAGTGTCACCTAGAACTTCATGTTTACCCAGGACATATGAATCCTGCCTTATTTGGAAATAGAGCCTTTGTAGATGTAATTTGTTTAATTAAGATGAGATCATACAGGATTACGGGGTGCACCTTAATCCGATGATTGTTGTCCTTAGAAGAAGATATCAAGAGACAGAGGGGGTGGGGAGGCCATGTGAAGATAAAGGAAGAGATTGGAGTTTTGTCGCCACAAACCGAGGGACACCAGGAGCTGCCCAAAGTTGGAAGAGGCAAGAAAGGATGCCCCTGCTTGAACCTCCGGAGGGAGCATGGCCCTGCCAACACCTTGATTTTGGACTTCTAGTCTTCAGAACTGTGAGAGAATAACCTTCTGTTGTTTTAAGGCACTCCGTTTATGGAAAGTTGTTACAGGAAGCTAATACAGGACATAAAAAGAAGTGCATTGAGAAATAGTGATAATTTGAGGTTGCAGTCTGTAACCCTAAGGTTTAAATTAGAACATTACTTCTAATCAAACTGAATTTGAAGGAGGTTTAGAGGGTAGCAGTCAAGAGGGCAGGCTTTGGAGTCAGACAGAACAGGCATGGAAACCCCAGCTTTGGGTACATACTAGCAGTGTGACCTCAGGCAAGTGATTTTGCCCCTTAGAGGTATCCTCATCTGTAAAAGGAGGATACCAAACCACCTTCGGCAGGTTATTTTATAAAGACCAAGTGAAATACCTCATTTAAAAGTACATAGCCCATGCCCTGACGGGTGTGACTCAGTGAGTTGGGCATCATCCTGCAAAGTGAAAGGTCACTGGTTTGATTCCTGGTCAAGGCACATGCCTGGGTTGCAAGTTCAGTGCTTGGTCAGGGCGCATACGAGAGGCAACCAATCGATGTTTCTTTCTCACATCGATGTTTCTCTCTCTCTCTCTTTCTCCCTCCCTTCCCCTCTCTCTAAGGATAAATAAATAAAATCTTTTTTTAAAAAAACAAGAACTTAGCTCAGGATCTGGCACATAGTAAAGACTGAATAAAAGTTAGCTGGCATTTATGACTAGAGCACCTAGTAGGTCTATCCTACCTAAAGTTGCCTCAATTAATCGCTATCATGTGATCCTGATGATTTCTTTCATGGTACCACCCACATTTATTTATTTATTTATTTATTGGCTCTCTCCCCACCAGAATGGAGAACGTAAACCCCATTAGACATGGGCAGAGTTTTACTTAAGGCTGAACACCCAGGCCCTGGCACAGGCCCTGGCATGTATTTAGGAGATGGGTGAAAGAGTAAATGAATAGTGGACACCTTGTCTTATAAAGCATTATATGAAGTCATATTTATTCAATTTCTTTCCTTTTACTCTGTCTTCGGTCCCAAATAACTGCATTAGAATTCCTTGTAATTTGCCTGCCACCAACAATTTCTCTTGCCTTCTGTTTTAAGCCCTTCCATGATATGTAAAATACAATGTCCTGGGATCTTCAAAAGCTTTGGGGCTATATTCTTGCTGGAGATAAGGGACTGTGGGCTGTCAGCCCTGTCCTCCCCCTCCCCCTACTTGCCCAGTTTCTTGTTCGCCATAGAGGTGTGGAGGAGACAGAAGGACCTGATAGGATAGTGAGGTGAACAATCCAGGGATTTATAAAATCCTTGTGAATACTTTTTTTTTTCTTGGAGTTGGGTTAGACTGGGACACAGCCTGCTTCCAGTGGTGCCACCAAACAGGCCTTCACAGGATCAATAAAATTCTCTAAAGATTCTGTGTCTCAAGAGATCCCAGCCTCCGTATTCCCCAGAGACTTCCCCAGAAGTCACAGTGGCTGTGAGTGGGGATTACCAGTGGTCAAGAAGGGCCATTGCCCTAATAACAAGGCGTCTTTAACCAGAGGGTTGTCAGTTACTTCTGAAAGAGGTGGACCAACACCTATAGTTTTCGACACATCGCAGTTCTTGGTCCTCAGCGAGACATGGTGACCTATAAAGGTCCTTGGTGGAAAAAGGTGACCCAGAACGAAGAAGGCCCCAGCAGTTAAGCAGGAACAAGAGCTGGCCAGCCATCCACACATACCCTGAGATCCCAGGAGAATAAGCCATTCTTCTCAAATTTTCTCCGAGCCCCTCTTTGCTGAGCCTGAAGGCTCCCTCTGGGTCCTGTGATCTCTGGAGAATTCAGGCACTAAGCCATCTTGCCGAGAAGGTTTTCCTGACCTGACATACACTGAGCCTGCCCCAGACGTCTTGCCTCCTGCCCACCTTGCCACTCCTCACAGGACCTAGCTGTCAGCAGACTGTGTGCAGACAGACACGACCAGGCTACTCTGCAGAGGTCAGTGCCGACACTCATCAGCAAAAAAGTTTGTGCCAAGGCCTCTGGGGCTGGTTCCAGTAAGATGAGAGGGTTAAGGCTGCTCTTTCTCTTCCAGGGAGTGAAATGACTTCTGACTTGGCTTGTTTAAAACTCTGAAAGAGGCCACATCAGGCATCATAGAAGATAGACCCTTGGAATCTGGCCACTGGGTGACTTTCACATCAGCCTCTGTCTCTGTGACTGAGGACCTTGGGATCTCTTCTTTTCCTTCAAGCCCACAGCATCTCAGGTGCTTCTTCCAGCGGGTCAAGCAGTGCTGGGCAGAGGCGCGGATCTCCCCACTCCGCAGGGCATAGATGATGGGGTTGACCAGGGAGTTGACAAGGCAAAGCAAGGAGCAAAAGGCAAAGACCTTCTTGACCTGGTCAGTTAGAGTGGTGGCCAAGCTGTAGACCATGAGGGTTAGTACCGGGAACCAGCATATGAAGAGAACAGCCAGCACCACCCCCAGTGTCCTGGCCAGTCTCATATCCAGCCTCATCCGGGCCATTCCCGGCACCTGCCTGTCCTGGTGCTCAGCCAGGCTGGCCACATGCTGATGGGCCTTCCAGAGGACGTGCCCATAGGTGTAGATGATGCCAGAGAAGAGGAAGGCGATGAACAGGAGCCAGCCCAGCAGGTAGTCGTTGGGGATCAGAGGGAAAAGCTCAGAGCAGGGACTGGGACAGCAAGTCCATCCCATGAGGGGCAGGTAGGAGACCAATGCTGAGATGACCCACATGGTGCCCAGGGTCACCAGTGCCCTCCCACGGGTGAGCAGGGCTTTGTATGCAAGTGGGTAGCGCAGACAGAGGTAGCGGTCAATGGCGGTCAGCAACAGGCTGCCTACAGAGGCTGTGAAAGTCATGGTCACACTACCAATCTTCAGCAGAAAGACAGCCTTGGAATCCATGCCATGAAAGACGTGGAAATTTACAAAATTACAGACAAAGACCACGCTGGCCAGGAGATCGGCCCCAGCCAAGCTGCTAATGAATAGATATGAGGGCTTCCTGCGGAGCCGGTGGGAAGACAGGATCAGGTAGAGCACAGCTAGGTTCTCCAGGGCGCTTAGCAGGCCCAGGGCGGTGCACAGCACCGCAATAGCTATCTGTTGCTGATTGCTCAGGATCATGTAATCCTTCATGGGGTTGAAATCCGAGCCATCCTTGGAGCCATTGGCTGCCTGCGTCACTGAGCATGTCTCCATGGAGTGAGTCCTTCAGATTCTGCTGGGCTTGCCAAGAAGTCTTTACTGGAGAAGAATGAGCAGAAGAAATGAGTTTTTTTTCAGTGGGCACAATAATGATCTCCCATGATCACTGACTCTAGCCAAACCCTTTATCTGTGGCGATGGATATGTTAAAATACCAACCTATGTTTTGTTCCTCTCTGTTTTGCTTTTCTCCCTTCTAATGGGGCACTAGGTCAGTACTGGTTGCCTTAGGAGAGCTATGTGGGAGTTCAAGAAGCAGAAGTGGTCTGCAGGCTTTTTGGCCTTTTGTTTTCAAAAAGACTAATCCTAAGACTTCTTTTTGAAAGTAAAGTAAATCTCTAATGGTCAAAAATCAAGAGGAAGTCAAAACCAAGAAATAATGGAATCCAGAGAGATAAGATTAAGGGTGTGTGTGTGTGTGTGTGTGTGTGTGTGTTTTCATTGGTGTTTTAGTTTTTTGTTGGCCAGTTTTGGTAAGTAAGATGCTAAAGTTTAAACAACTATTTAGGGATGGGAGACAAGACTTTGGCTTCACACCAGTAGGGTTGCCAGATAAAATATAGGAGTCCAGATAATCCTGAATGTCAGGTAATGAATCATTTTTTAGTGTAAGTATATCCTAAATACTGAGAAAAATTAAATCACCCAAACGTTATATGGGACATTATTAGATATCATTATTAAAGCAAACTCAAAATTTCTCTAGAGAAATATGCTTTCTATCCAGATCACAGAAGATTTCCACATATGAAGGCCCATGGAATTTAAGCTTACAATGCAAAATGACAAAACATAGAGAAACAGGAACAAGGGTTAGCAGAAATGTCAGACAGTAGAATTACACTTCCAGGAAGTTCATATAATTCTTGGGTATATGTTATCAAAATGTTTAATATTATTAAACAATAAGGAATCAAAAACATGAGTACCTAATGAGTGACTGGGCAGATTGGAAAAAGGATCAAGTATAATTTTAGAAGCGAAAAATAAAGTCATTGAAAAAAGAAACCCTTAAGGACAGGCTAAAGATCACAACAGACTCGTTGAGAAGCATTGGTGTAGAAGGTAGTTCTGAAGAAATTTCTCAGAATGCAGCACAAGGTGACAAAGAGATGGAGAGCATGAAAGAGAGCTTAAGAGAAATGAAGGATTGAAGGAAAAGTTTAAATGTATCTAACTGGAGTTTCAAAAAGGAAGAATAGAACTGGCCGTGGGCATTGGGCTGGCAGTATTCAAAGAGATGATGGGGAGGATTGTCCAGAATTCTCCTGGACATGACTCTTCAGATTCAGCAATCACAGTGAACTCCAAGCAGCATGTTAGAAACAAAGTAATTCTACATTTACAGATATCATAATAAAACTCCAGACCACCGAAGACACAGAGAAAAAAATTAAAAGCAATCATAGAGAAAAGATACATTACATGCAAAGGAACCATAATTAAATTTAGAAGATTTCCCAATAGCAACAACAGTAGCCAGAAGATAAAGGGGAAAAAAAAGCTAAGCTATCACTCAAAATAAAGGAATAGAAATAGAAATAGAATTGTCCACTAACAGGCCTTCGCTGAAGGAATATCTACAGGATATACCATGAAGAGGAGGAAATTCTCCACAGAAGAAAGGACAGAAAGGCAAGAAGAAATTGTGAACAAATAAGTTGATAAATATCTAAGTAAATTTTAAAATGTATAAGGCCATTATAATAATAATTATGACTGATTTGGAGGGTATACAAACAAAGTGGAGCCCTGGCTGGTGTGGCTCAGTGGATTGGGCATCAGTCTGTGGACTGAAAAGTTGCCGCTTGATTCCTGGTCAGGGCACAGGCTGGGTTTCTGGCCGGGTCCCCAGCAGGGGGCATGTGAGAGGCAACCAATGGATGTTTCTCTCACACATCGTTGTTTCTCTCACTCTCCCTCGCTTCCCTCTCTTTAAAAAGAAATAAATAAAATCTTTAAAAAAAAAACACCCCAAAACAAAAAGGAAGTAAATTGTGGATGACGGTAACACAAGCCAAGAGAGATGAACAGAGTTGAGGCTTTATTTAGGAAGTGAATTAAAGGCATTGATCTAAATTTAGGCTTTACAGAATCAGGCATTATCTCTTACCCAGTTTCCTGCAATATCAACTGGGCTCCCTGCTTCTAACCAGACCCATCGTTAGTCCAATTTCAACACACTAGCCAAAGTGATCCTTTAAAAATGCGTCAGATCATACCACTGTCACAACCCTGTATAGGTCCCATTCCATTCAGTGTAAAATCCAAGCTACTTCCAGTGGTCTAGAAGGTTCTATGTGCCCTGGTCCCATTACCTCTCTGACCTTCGGGCTGCCATACTTCCCTTGGTCAACCAACGTTAGCCACGCTGCCTTTCGGACGGATCCAACCTCAGAGCCTCTGCGCCGGCGGCTCCCTCTGCCTGAGCACTCTTCCCCTAGGCATATGCTCAGCTCAGTCTCTTACTTTCTTCAATTTTGGGCTCAAATTTTACCTTTTCGTTCTACCCCTACCGCACAATTTAATACTGAAACTCATCCTGCCCTCCTGTTCTTCTGGTCCCCTTCACTCTATTTTTTCTCTTTTTCATATCACTTATCACTTTCTAACATATAATTTACCCTACATAATGTACCTATCTATTATGTTTAATTGTTCATTACCTGTTTGTTCCCCTAGAATTTAAGTGCCATAAGGTCAATGAGCTGACTCTTTTGCTCACTAATATTAGGGCTTAGAATAGTATCTGGTATACAAAAGCAACTCAATAAATATTTGTGAAACCAAATTGAAATGAAACTGAATTTTGAGTAATTTTAGCATTTCTTCCTCAGAAGTTGACAGATTAAGCAGACAATATACTAATTAATCGGATGTATAAGATTTGAACATTGTCCTGGCTGGTGTGGCTCAGTGGGTTGAACGCTGGCCTGCGAACTGAAAGGTCGCTGGTTTGATTCCCTGTCAGAGCACATACCTGGGTTGCAGGCCAGGTCCCCATTTGCGGTCGCACGAGAGACAACCAATGGATATATCTCTCACACATAGATGTTTCTCTCCCTCTCTTTCTCCTTTCCTCCCCCTTTCTCTAAAATGTAAATAAATAAAATCTTTAAAGAAAACCTCACAACCTTACTTAGTAAAGTTTGAATCTTTTATTTACACTCAAAACAGAATTTATTATAATTTTTTTGGTGCCCATTTAAATTTTGCACCTTATTCTGGCTCGAGTGCCCAGGGAGGGGAAGTTGGGACCAGAAAGATCTGTGGCTTCCTGAACAGTGGCTTCATGGTATGTGTGGTAAGGAGACCTTCACAGCATTTTCAAATCTCCCCTCACAAGGATCTTTGGGGTGTGTTTATGCTCATTGTATAGAGGAAGAAGGCTTAGGAACAAGGAGCTCTGTGGGCTCCCTGTACTCCCTGTCTGTAAAATGGGGATAACCATGGTAACCCACCTTTACAGATGATTCACGAGAATTAAGTGAATAAATATAGAAAACATATTTAGATGAGATCCTGACCCTGGGGACAGCTAGTCTTCATTTGGAACTTGCCCAGGATGGCCTGTGTATTTAAGCGTGGAAACTGGGATTCGGCTTCAGTTCTGTCTATACCCACACTGTCAAGGTGGCTAGTCTGAATTGAGATGTGCTTTAAGTGTAAATATACTCCAGATTTCAAAGAGAGCATGGAAAAAGCAGTGTAAAATATCTCATTCATAATCTTTATATTGATTACAAGTCAAAATGATAATATTTTGGATACATTGAGCTAAATATTTCTTTTGCCTGTTTCTTTTTATTTACTTATTTTTAATGTGGGTACTAGGAAATTTTAAATGACACGGGTCTCATGTTACATCCTCATGGGACAGTGCCATCCCACCTTAATACACTGTGCTGCCACGGGCAGCCAGGCCAGAACAAATTCCTCAGTAACCTCTGCAGACAGCCCCAGCCTGGCTCACCTGGTGCCTCACCATTCCCCAAAGAGCCTCCTTTCGTGCACCTTTGCCCTGGGGTTCCTTTCCCTGGCTCGTCTCCCTTCTTCACCTTCCTTCTGGGCTCGTCTTTGGCCCAGGGAAGACGTCTCTGATCCCTGTCATACAACAAGCTCCCAGCCTTGTTCTGCATATATTGTCACTGGTTCTGCATCAGTTAGTCTTGTCTCCAACCAGATTAATAATTGCACTAACCAACATTTGTATGGAATTTAATTCTACAAAATATATGTTTACAGCCACAATCGAATGCAAGCCATGCAGCTCTGTGACGTAAGAATTATGGTTATTGTTGTCTCGTAACGGAGGCTGAGAGGTGTTAAACTAGTTGGCAGCGGCCACACACATCTTCTGAAGGTCAGGGAATGAGCCTTCGCTGTTGCAGGGTCTTCACAGTCTTGCACAGCGCCTGCTATGCAGTGCGTGCTCAGGAACTGTGTAGTGCATGACACCCATTTGGCGGGAAGGGGCTGTCTCAAATGGTGCAGACCCCAAGTAAGTGTGTAAGGGACAGGGAGCACACTACATAGGCTCAAATCTCAGCTGGGTAGCCTTGTTCAAGATACCTAATGCCTTGTTTTTCTCCATTTCTTACCTGTACAATGGATTTTTGAGAGGATGTAAGTACATTAATATAATACAAAGAAGTGCGTATTATTATTATTAGGAGCATCTTCAAATGGGGATAATTCACCTATTCCATGAGGTTGTTAAGAATGATATGCCTGGTGTATCTTAAGTGCTTGATAAACAGCAGCCTTTATTATAATCTAGGCTCTTTTTTTTTTATTTTAAGAGAACAGAATGCTTTTTTAAAACTAAAAAAAATTTTTTATCCTCACCGAGGACGTTTTTTTCATTGCTTTTAGAGAGAAAGAGAAACATCGACTGGCTGCCTCTTGTATGCATCCTGAGTAGGGATAGAACCCACACCCTGGGTATATGCCCTGACCAGGAATTAAACCTGCAACCTTTTGGTCTATGGGGT